TACTTTTGTTGCCTGTGACTTTTTTGTCATATCCAAGAAATTCTTTCCCATTACAATGTCATGAACATTTTCCCCAGCATTTTTTCCTAAGAATTTTATAGTTTCAGGTCTTCGGTCTATTTTTTATTTATTTATTTTTAAAGATTTTATTTATTTATTTGACAGAGAGAGACACAGTGAGAGAGGGAACACAAGCAGGGGGAGTAGGAGAGGGAGAAGCAGGCTTCCCAGGGAGCAGGGAGCCCGATGTGGGACTCGATCCCAGGACCCTGAGATCATGACCCAAGCTGAAGGCAGACGCTTAACGACTGAGCCACCCAGGCGCCCCCAGGTCTTAGGTTTAGTTCTTTAATCCATTTTGAGTTAATTCTTGTATATGGTACTCGATAAGAATCCATCCTTATTCTTTCGCATGTGGATATCCAGTTTCCCAACACCATTTGTTGAAGAGACTGTTCTTTCCCCACTGGGTAGTCCTTGTGCCCTCATTGAAGATCATTGGGTCATACATGTATGTGCTTATTTCTGGGCTCTCTGTTGTGTTCTGTTGGTCTATATGTCTGCCTTTATGACAGTACTGTTCTCTGGATTATTGTAGCTTTGTAATATGCTTTGAAATCATGAAGTGTGAGATCGCCACTTTGTTCTTTCTCAAGATTGTCTTGGCTATTTGAAGTCCTCTAAGATTCAATATGAATTTTGGGATTTTTGTCCCCAAAAATCCACTGGGATTTTGATAGGGATTGCATTGAATCTGAAGATTGGTTTGGGTACTATGGACATTTGGATAATATTAAATCTTTCAACCCCTGAACACAGGATGCCTTTCCATTTATATATGTCTTTTTAAATTTCTGTCAGCAATGTTTTAGAGTTTTCACTTCAGTCTTTTGCCTCTTTGGTTAAGTTTATTAGTATTTTATTCTTTTTTATACTAATGTAAGTGGGATTGTTTTCTTAATTTCCTTTTCAGATTGTTCATTGTTAGTGTATAGAAATGCAGCTGATTTTTGAGTGTTGGCTTTGTAACTTGGAACTTTGCTGAATTCATTTAACAGTTCTAACAGTTTTTGTGTGGAATCTTTTGGGTTTCCTACATGTAAAATCATGTCATCTGCTAACAGATACCTTTACTTCCCTCTTTCCAATTTGGATGTCTTTTCCTCCCTCCCTCCTTCTCTTCCTTCCTTCGTCTCCCAATTGCTCTGGCTAAGACTCCAGGACTATGTTGAATAGAAGTGTCAAGAGTGAGTATCCTTGTCTTGTTCCTGATCTTAGAAGAAAAGCTTTCAGTTTTCCACCGTCGAGTATGATGTCAGCTGTGGGCTTTTCACATATGACCTTTATTATGTTTAGGTACTTTCCTTTTATTCCTAGTTTCTTGAGTGTTTTTATCATGAAACAATGTTAAATTTTGTCAAGTGCTTTTTCTTTATCAAGATGATCATGTGATTTTTGTCCTTTCTGTTAAAGCTATATTTATTGATTTTCTTTTGACGAATCGTCCTTGAATTCCAGGGATAAATCTTACTTGTTCATGGTGTATAGTCCTTTTAAAGTGCTATTGATTTGGCTTACTAGTATTTTGTTGAAGAGTTTTGCATTGACATTATTCAGGGATATTGATCTGCATTTTGCACTTTGCTATCAGAGTAATGCTGGATTCATAAATGTATTAGGATGTATTCCCTCCTCTTCAATTTTTGGGAAGAGGTTTTATTTTTTAAAGATTTTATCCGTTTATTTGATAGAGACACAGTGAGAGCAGGAACACAAGCAGGGGAAGTGGGAGAGGGAGAAGTAGGCTTCCCGCTGAGCAAGGAGCCCAATGCGGGGCTCAATCCTAGGACCCTGGGATCATGACCTGAGCCGAAGGCAGACGTTCAACGACTGAGCCACCCAGGTGCCCCTTGAGAGAGAGAGAGAGAGAGAGAGAGAGAGGAAGATCAGAGAGGGGGACAAGCAGAGTCCATACCAAGTGTGGAGCCCGATGCAAGCCTGATCCGATGACCCTGAGATCACGACTCCAGCCGAAATCAAGTCAGCCACCTAACCAACTGAGCCACCCAGGTGCCCCAATTTTTGGGAAGACTTTGAGAAGGATTGGTGTTAATTCTTTAAATATTTGGTAAAATACTCCAATGAAGCCATCTGGTTCTGGGCTTTTCTTTGTTGGGAAGTTTTTAAATTAGTAACTGATTACTGATTAGTAATTGATTATTGATTAGTAATTGATCATTAATTCAACCTCCTTACTAGTTATAGGTGTTTGAATTTTCTATTTCTTCATTATTGAGTCTTACTATTGTGTGTTTCTAGGAATTTATCCACTTCTTTTAAGTTATCCAATTTGTTGGCATATAATTTTTCATAATACTCTCTTATAATCTATTGTATTTCTATGGCATCAGTTGTAATTTCTCTTTCATCTCTGATTTTAGTTGAGTCTTCTTTTTTTCTAGCTAAGGGGTTAGAATTTCAACATACAAATTTTGGGGGACATAAACATTCAGAACATCCCATAGCACTTACTATTGCCATTTTGTTTTTTCTTTTCTTGTCCCTCTTTTCCTTTTGTTGATTTTGTGTTTCATTGATGTTTTTGTGTTAACACGCTTTGATTCCCCCTCCACCGCCCCATTTTCTTTTGTGTATCTTCTATGGGTGTTTTTGTAACAGCACCCCCTTCAGTCATTAGGGTTAAGTTGCTTCAAGTTAACACACTCCTTACTTGCTGACATTAAGACCCTTGATCTGTAACAGAACTAATTTACTTTCTTTGAGATTTGTAGACCACTGGCCTTGAAGAGTGAAGAACCAGAACTTTCCCAGGCCACAGAGGCCAGTAAGTCTGTTTGAAGCCACCTCAGCTTTCTGATTAGCCCAGCAAAATTTTTTTAGCAAAATGTTTTTTTCTTTTAGGCTACACAAATGATTTTACTAACCTCCCTTTGTGTATCTGTAGACCTTGCCGAAAGAATAGAGCATTTTTACACAACACGAGAAAGAACCGCAACCCCTCCTCGCACAACCCCGGAGCACTGAGATGTTTGTAGCTGGAAACATCAAGTCTGCACATAATCAAGAAATGTTGCAGGCTGCTGCACTCTCTTTACTGATAAACTACCCTAAACCCCTTTAAAGTCCCCAGACCAGGCAGAAACCTCGGAGTTGGCTTTTGGACAAGAGTCTGCTTTCTTCCCAGGTTGCTGGCCTCCTGAATAAAGCTCAAATTCCTTTCCTATCAGAACTTGTCTCATGAGTGATGATCTTTCAGGCAACAGGCAGCTGAACTTGGGTTCAGTAAGTTTCTTTGTGGTTACTGCAGGAGTTACATAAGACATCTTTTTATAACCATCTATTTTAATGCTGATAACAACCTAATCTCAATCATATACAAAACTTCTATTTAAGATTTTATTTATTTGAGAGAGAGCATGAATGAGGGGAGGGGCCGTGGGGGAAGAAGGAAGGGGGCAAGAATCTCAAGCAGACTCCGCGCTAAGCATGAAGCCTGACACAGGCTCAATCTCATGACCATGACATCATGACCTGAGCCAAAACCAAGGGTCAGGCACTTGATTAACCCAGGTGCCCCACAAAAACTCTATTCTTTTACATCTCTCCAGCTGCCTCCCTTTTTGATTCACAAGCTATGTCTTTATTATCTATTAACATAGTTTTATAATAATTTTTAATGCTTTTGTCTTCTAATTGTCTATACCAGAACTAAAAGTACTTTACACACCACCATTACAGACAGTGATAAAGGACTCTGCATTTGCCTATTTACTTTTACTACAGAGTTTTAGATTTTTGTATGCTTTCGTGTTGCTGTCTACCATCTTTTTTCAAAGGGTGGGACTCTCTCTAGCGTTTCTTATAAGGCACATCCAGTGGTGATGAACTCCCTCAGCTTTTGTTCATCTGCAAAAGTCTATCTCTTCTTCATTTGTGAAGAATACTTTTGCTGGATAGTATTTTTGAGTTTTTTTTTTTTTTCTTAACTATAGTCTTGGGTGTGGGGCTGTTTGGGTTCATTCTGTTTGGAGTCCTTTGAGCTCAAAATTTGGATGTCCATTTCCTTCCTTAAGATTAGGGAAATTTTCAGCCATTACTTCTTCAAATAAGTTTTGTCTCTTTCTCGCTCTTTTCTCCTTCCAGGACTCTCATAATGCATATATTGGTCCACTTTATGCTATTTTATAGGTCCCTTAGGCTTGCTCCATTTTCATTTTTTTATTCCTTTCACTTGATAATTTCAATGATCAGAATTGCTGATTCTTCTGCTTGATCAAATCTGCTGTTGAACCCCTCTAGTATATTTTTCAGAATTCTATATGGTTCTAATTTTTTTCTCTTCGTTGATATTCTCTCATTTTGTTCATTCACTGTTGCTCTGATTTTATTTAGTTGTCTGTACCCTTGTAAATCATTGTGCTTCAGTAGGTTTCCATTTCCTTGGTATTGGTTTCTGGAGATTTTATTTTAGCCCAGTGGATTATCTGAAGCCATTCATCAAGATACTCAAGAAGACCAGGGGCACTTGGGTGGCTCAGTTGGTTAAATGGCCAGCTCTTTATTTTGGCTCAGGTCATGATCTCAGGGTCCTGGGATTAAGGCCTGCATCAGGCTCTGTGCTCAGCTGGGAGTCTGCTTGAGGAGTCTCTCTTTCCCTCACCCTCTGTCCCTCCCCCCTCACTCACTCTCTCTCTAAAATAAATAAATCTTAAAAAAAAAAATGATCCTCAACAAGACCTAATGCATCTGGGATATTGTCTCATCTGAAACAAATTTCAGCAGAACCACCATTGGGATTTCTTTAGAATAGCTACTATAAATACAGAGAATAATTAAGTATTCTTCTACTATTTTTGGACTTCTGACTTCCAGAACTGCAGGATAATAAATTGTGTTGTTTTAACCACTGAGTTTGTGGTAATTTATTACAGCAGAAACAGGAAACTAATACAGAAGTCTGAGTTAAAAAAAAAGACACATTTCAGACAAAATTACTTAGGAAATATTTTATTGTACAAAATTTACATCTGTTGAATACAGTGAAAAGCATGGCAAAAGAACTTTTTGTTAATCCATTTTCTTTGAGATTTTTTGGGAAAAGTAAAGATTTACTTTCTAATACATTCTCAGATAATATAACTTTTTATATAGTTCTTTAACAGTTGTGTTGGTAATAAGTGTCTTGGGACATAAGGTATAAAACTAAAAAGATCAAAAAAGCGCAGGGGGTAGACCACTACCAAAAAGTAATCTCCATGAACTTGGCATTTTCCACTTCAAGGCAGATGCTGTGGGGTCATCACCCTGTAAGTGAAGAACAAAATACTTTAATCCTTCAATTTTATGACCAAAACCACTTTTAGCATTTAAGTCACATAAAACTCGCCCTTCTCTAGTTTTTTGTTTGTTAGTTTTTGCTCTTTTTGGGTTTGACATTTTTAGCTGAGTTTTACTGTAAGGAAAAACAAAGCAATAAATTTGTCTCTATGTTAATTGAAGATAAATTTCCTTAAGTTCCAAATCATAAAGATATGCCAGAAGGCTATGGAGTCCATCAAGTAAAATCATATTTGAAAGGAACAGGGTTTAAGTAATAATAATAACAATAATAATAAAAATCAGTGCTGTGTAATTTTTATCAATTTGTTTCTAGCAAAAGCATGAATTAAAAAGACAGTACCTATCATATCATTATGGTACTTCTATTATGACTAAAAGTTAACTGATTTCCCTGGGTGTAATGCTTTTACCTCATAATACAGAAAAGTATTTTAATTATAATGCACATTCAATAGTTATAGTATTGCTCACATAAATAGGTTTTGCTTTCCTTAAAAAAAGTCCTGAATTCTAAAGAAATTTATTTTTCTAAGAATATGTCTGGTATAATTAATGCAACATGAACAATTAATATAATGAAGTACTTATGGTTTTCCTTTCTGGAAAATCAGTCAATGAAACAACTGTAGACAACTGGTTGGTTAAATGCCCTCTTTTCTTTTCAAAAGCTCAACTGAACTCTAAATTTTATATAAAGATGTATCTATACTTAACAAACTTTCACTTATTTGGTCTACTTATATAGAATAAAAAAATGCAAGTTTATAAATACATAACCGGAGAAATCAGAGGCTTAAAGTGTAGTAACACTTACACATGGTTTGATTATCTGAAGCCATTCATTAAGATACTCAACAAGACCTAATGCATCTGGGATATTGTCTCCTTCTGAAACAAATTTCAGCAGAACCACCATTGGGATTTCTTTAGAACAGCTACAACAAATACAGAGAATAATTAAGCATTCTTCTATTGATACAAGATGCTGATTCCATCTGTGTCTGTTTTTATAGCTAAGACAATCTGCCAGGTTTTAGGAAAGGAGAAGATGCCACATAATAAGCTCACTTATTTATCCCCCTTTGCTCCAGATATATGCTACTTGTGGGGACAGGACTAGAAGCCACGTAATGTCCACTCTGGGCATATGCAAGTTTGCTTCTCATCCGAGGCTGCATGAAAAACCATCCCCACTGAAATATGTTCTACTTCCCAAATCTGCTGTAGAAGAGTGATTTTCAGAAGCACCATAGCAAAGAGACTGAAAGAAAATAACACCCTTGTTACTAATAACCTAAAACAGCGAAGGAAAACTGTGGAATTGAATAAAGGGAAAATACTATTACTTTTTCTTAAAAGATATTTATTTATTTATTTATTAGAGAGAGAGAGAGAGATAGCAAGAGAGAGCATAAGCGGGAGTGCAGGGAGAGGGAGAAGAAGGCCCCCCACTGAGCAGGGAACCCGACATGGGGCTGGATCCCAGGACCCCAGGATCAAGGCCTGAGTCGCAGACAGACACTTAACTGACTGAGCCACCCAGGTGCCCCTTTACTATATTACTCCTTACAGATTCCACCTACTGAGTGATTTATTATGTGCTAAGCACTATCTGCATATTTTATCGTTCAATCCCTACAATTCTTGAGGACATTATAATTATCTCCATTTTATAACTGAATCAATTTGGAATAGAACATGGACAGAATGCCTGGATTCAAATTCTAGCTCTGCCACTTACCAGACATGTTGGGCAAGTTACTTAGAGCTTCAGTGTGTCTCATTTGTAAAAGAGGGAGCACAACAGAACTGTGCTGTGTGTTGTTGGGAGGTGTAAGGGAGGCAGGAGAGGCAAAGTGGTTAAAACAGTGCCCAACATATAGTCAATACTATGTATGTGCTAGCTATTATGATGAAGTAACTGAAGTTTAAAGGGTTTGAAATGTAGTTAACATACTCAAAGTTCTATATCTATGAAGTGGCAGAGGTGGGACTTGAACCCAGGTCTTTCAGACTCCAAAAGTCTCTTAACAGTATGCTATAAATGCCTCAAGCTAGTGATGATGGAGATAAGTCAATGCAAAAAGCTTCCTGTTTGCCAACAAAAGCAAAAATTATTTCTAATACCCTAAAACCAAGAAGTGTGAGAAAAATTTCATGCCAAAACTTGAGAGCACGTGACTGACAGAGAGCTACAGAAATAAAGGTGGGTTGGTTTTCTAAGCAAGGGATTTCAGACGTGGAGAAGACTCTGAGAGGTAGGTTCAGAAGTCTCAGATGTACCAGAAGAGCCTAACATAGTATCTCAGTCTCTATATATCAGAAATTGGTCCAGGTGCCTGCGTAGCTCAGTTGGTTAAGTATCCAACTCTTGATTTCAGTTCAGGTCATGATCTCAGGGTCGTGAGATCCAGCCTCTCACTGGGCTCCACACTGAGGTGGAGTCAGCTTGGTATTCTCTCTCTCCCTTTTCCTCTGCCCTCCACTCCCGCTTGCATGCTCCCTCTCTAAAATAAATATTAGAAATCAGAAGTTGTTAGCACTAGTTACATCATCTCACCATGTAATTCTCAAATATCTTAGGGGCTCTCAAGCGTTGTATGGTAGCGCTATGAGCTGTGATGATTCAGAAGACTCTAGTTCCTAAACATTCATGCTATGGTAGCCTTAGAAATGGCTCCTGCCTAGAGGAGGCTAGCTTCCCTGGGTGTGCCTTTATTTTCAAGCCTCTAGGTTAAAAAATGCAGGGGTATGTCTTGAATTTACAGTGCCTCCACTACTAGTTTGTAACACGAAGAGTAGCATTAAGAGTTTTAATAGCATCCTCTGGTGCTCTCTGTAAAAATGGAAAGTGGAGAGTGGCTAATTTTATTACTTTCTGTGACATTAAAATCTAGCACATGAGATATATCCATTATTAAATTATAAATGTACTTTGATTCCAATTAAGTATAAGGGATTTCAGGCCAGCCACACCACTGCCACCACTTATCATTAGAGTAACTAATATTATCTTTTCCAGAGATCAGAATATATATTTGTTCTCATAATGGGAAGGCAAAATATATATGTTACAAAAAATTTAGCAAAAATGGCTTTTTTCTCAATTTCAAAAATTCTTTATTGAAGTGAATATATAATTGCACTGAACATTAAACATGGGTTTGATTATAAACGAAAAGATTTGCATTAGAAAATTAAAAGAAAACTGATTTTGTGAGAAACATTTTTAAATAAGATGAACTCTAAAGTTTGAGTTGATGCATCTTGCAGGTACACACATTCAACTGAAATGTATTTTAAAGGAGCTGGGAAGAGAACAAATGAAAAATTAGTAGTGGTAGGTACCTCTGGGTGACAGAACTGAGTATTGTAAGTATTATTTCTTTGGACTATTCTACATTTTCCAAATGTTCCATGATAAGTACGTCTAACTTTTATAATATTTTGCTATCATTGTTAACTCTGTGAGCAAGTTTACAGCTACCCAGAAGTTATTCTTTTGGTCTCATGGAGTTTTACCCTATACATGTGTGGCTCAGAATTCTGACAAAGACTCAGGAAGACCCCCTAAGGCTCTTCTTGAATAGCCCTTCTCTGGTCCTCTGCCTTGTTCATTCCAGGTGTCCTAGCATTCCGCAATCATGGTATCTGTCTTCTCAACTTAGCAAGACCGCTCTCCTCCGGTTCCCTCCCCTTCTTTGTGTTGTAGTCCACAAAGTATCTGCAAGCAGAAAGCTGGGGCAATTGTAGGACTTATTTGCCTTCTCTCAGGAATCACAACTGTGTGCTGTTTTGCTATCCAATGTCTGAAAAAGTTTTCATTAATTTTGTCCAATTTGCAGTTGTTGATGGCAAGATGGCAAGTCTGCTATCATTACTCTAACAAAATCCAAAGCAAAAGTAAACTGATTTGTAAAGAACTAAGTCGATGTGAAGGAGCAGTGAGCTGTGGGAATACAGAGAGTAGTAAACTCCTTGTGCAGAAGGGAGAAGCAAGTCAGGACACAAGGAGTGCTGTGAGGTGACTCCTGGAAACTGGGTTCATTTTTGCAAGGTAGATAAGAGCAGAAAAGTACATGGGACAAGGGAAGGAAGAATGAGACAGCTTTTAGGAAACTGACTGCTAGTCATTTAGCTGGAGTCCAGGGCACCAAGGAATGAGCGAGGCAAGGAAATCCTGCAGGGCCTTGTATGGCACCTTAAGGAGTATGAACCAGATTCTGCACACAGCAAGTAAAACTGCTGATGGACTTTACTCAGGGGATGTTGTGATCAGTTTTGAATTTTAATTCGAGCAACACTCAAGCTGGAGCAGAGTGAGTGAGAATGGAGGAGGCAGGGGGAATCAATCAAAAGATCTTGAGAGCAGCTGCTATAGACCAAACCCATGTCCCTCCAAAATGGAAGCCCTAACCCCCAGTGTGACTATATCTGGAGATAGGATCTCTGCAGGTAATTAAGATTAAACCATGTCATAAGGCAGAGGCCCTAATCTGACAGGACTGTGGCCTTGTAAGGAGAGAAGGAAAGAGAGGTCTCTCTCTGCCATGTGAGGATATGGCCAGAAGGTAGCCATCTGCAAGCCAGGAAGGGGGGGCCTCCCCAGAACCCAACCATGCTGGCTCCCTGATTTCAGACTTCTACCCTGCAGAACTGTGAATAAATAAATTTCTTTGTTTAAGTCACCCTGCGGACAGTATTTTGTTATGGCAGTCCAATCAGACTAACAGCAGTCTAGGCTACAAATGATGTGGCCTGAATGAAGCACGAGAAGGACTGAAAACTGGTGGTCTGTAGGGAAGGTGCAGAGAATGATTAGGTAGCCAGGGCTTCCACCAGAAGAATAGTTGAAGTGATATTTTATATTATGGGGAATAAACTAGATAGGAAAAGAAGTAAAAACACAATGACAAAGAAAAAAAAAAGAAAAATGGGAAGAAAGAAAAAAAAAGAAAAATGGGAAGAAATGATGGTTTTAATAGGACCAGAGTAGGTTTTCAGGGAAAAAGAGAAAGCTGAAATGGTACACAAGTATGGCCAGAGACAGACAAAACAAGCTGTACTGGGAAAACAAGCTGAAATGCCTGTATCCTTTCTCACAGAGAAGTCTTGAATATTTTGGAAAGAAGGAGGGGCAAAAATAATTACAAATAACAAGAAACAAGTTCACCTTTTAGACAGAGAATAAAACTCACTGTGATCCTGAACCATGAATCCTAGCTCTAGAATGAAGTGGTTAAAAGTGCAGGATTTGGGGCCAGATGCCTAGGTTTGAACCCTGGCTCTGCCAGATTACCCACATGGCTTTTAGCAGTTATTTCATCTTGTTGCTCTTCAATTTTCTTATTTATAACATGTAGTTAACAGTAATACATACCTATGAGCTTATTATGAGAATTAAATAATTTAATACATGTAAAGTGCATAGAGCGGTACCAGGCACTTAATTTGCTATTACCATGACTACTATTTATATTTCTATTATGACTTCTTCGGGTCATGCAGAAGTCACAATGTAGATTTTAGAGCAAGCAAACCAGTCATTCTATTTGGCAAGGCTAGGTTGACACTCTTAAAATGTATTATGTTGAGGAAGCAGATTTATTCGTTGACTTTGAGCAATGACGGCGGGGACATATTTAAATTTTTTCTAGGTTAGCTCTGCCCAATTCTCTAAAGCCACCACTGACGGCACAAGATGCTCCTTATTCATCTCTCCTCATGGGAGAGCAGGGAGTAGACTATACAAGCTTGAGAAGCAGCAGATGCCACCCTCTAAATGCTGCCCCTCCCCCTCTTCATAACCGTCGGCTCTGTCTTCCATGAACCCACCAGGCACATCAACTCCTGGCAAGAAGGAAGAGTCAGAGCCAGTTGAAGCATACAGCAAGGCGTACTGGTTAGCCCCAGACTTAGCCTCCGGTCGTATGAGACAGGAAGCTAAGGGCAGGCAAAAATGGGGACAGTGTAAATGTCTACAAATCTGATGGCAGGCTGGGCCATCACATAAGTCATATAAATCAATTTACAAAAAGGGGCTAAAAGAAAAAAAAGATCTCTAATTTCCACCTTTACTTTCACTTGCCTTCTGAAAGTTCATGATTCCCAAAGACTAATCAAGAGTGACTGTAGAGTATTTAAAAGAAAAATGCCCCCAAATAACTATAAATCTGTTATTGGGCACACAATATAGAAAGATGTAATTTGTGACAACAATATCATAATGGGTTGGGGGAGGCAGTGTGCATGAGACTAGTTTTTGTGTGCAATTGAAGTGAAATTGGTATCAACTCAAATTAGACTGTTATAACTTTAGAATGTTACATGAGATCACCATGGAAACCACAAAGCAAGTATCTATAGAATATACACAAAAGAAAATGTGAAGACAACCAAAAGATGTCACTATAAAAAATCAACCAAGCACAAAAGAAGGCAGTAAAGGAGGAAATGAAGAACAAAAAAGCTGTAAGATATATAGAACACAAAGAGCAAAATGACAAGTCCTTCATCAGTAATTACTTTTAATGCAAATGGATTAAACTCTCTAATCAAAAGACAGATTGGCAGAAGGGATTAAAAACATGATCCAATTATGTACTATCTATAAGAGACTTACTTTGAATATAAGGACATGCACAGTTTGAAAGTGAAAAGATGGAAAAAGATATTCCATAAAAAAGTAACCAAGAGAGGATAGCAAATAACAGACAAAACAGACTTCAAGTCAAAAACTGTTATGAAAGACCAAGAAGGCTATTATATATTGATAAAAGGGCCAATTCACCAAGAAAACATAACAAATATAAAGATATTCACAAAACAGAGCCCCAAAATATATGAAGCAAACATTGACAGAATTGAAGGGAGAACTAGACACGGTGCTATAGTAATAGTTGGAGACTTCAACAGCCTATATTCAATAATGGATGGAAAAGACTGAGAAGGAAACAGAATTACCAATTAGACCTAACAGATATATACAGAACACCCCACTCAACAAAAACAGAATACACATTTTTCTCAAGTGCATAGGGACCATTCTCCAGGACAGACTTTTGGTAGGGCACAAAATAAGACCTGATAAATGAAAAAGATTAAAATCATACAAAGTGTCTTTTTCAATCACAAAAGAATGATACTAGAAATCAGTAATGGAAGGAAAACTGGAAAATTCACAAATATGTGGAAATTAAACAACACAATTTCAAACAACTAATGGGTCAAAGAAGAAATCACAAGGTAAATTAGAAAATTTAGGGGTGAATGAAAATGAAAACACAACATGCTAAACTTAAGAGATGCAGCTAAGGCAGTTTTAGAGGGAAAGTTAGAGCTACAAATGCATATTTTAAAAAAGAAGAAATTTCACAGATTAATAACCTAAGTTTACACTTAGGAACTACAAAAATAAAGGCAAACTAAATCTGGAGTTAGCAGAAGAAAGGAAATAATGAAGATTAGAGATAAATAAAATAGAGAACAGTAAAACAAGAGAGAAAAATCAATAAAACCAAAAGTTGGTTATTTGAAAAGATTAACAGAACTGAGAAAAAAAAAAGACTCAAATTACTAAAATCAGAAATGAAGGTGAGGACATTAGTATGGGTTTTGCAGAACTAAATAGGAGTTATTATTGAATAAGTACAGATTCTCTGTTTAGAACAATGACAAAGTTCTGAAAGCAGATAGTTGGTTACTGGTATACAACACTGTGAACTCATTAACAGCAATTAACTGTACACTTAAGAATGGTTACATTAATGTTTCATATATTTTACCATAATTAAAAAAAAGATTGATTGTAGAGGTTGCATAGAGTATCAGGATCCTTAACATGCTGCACATTATAAAGTGTTAAATATGGTTTTTTAGGAACCAATGTTCCTAAGACTAAATTTCAAGTCTTATCTTCACTTATCTTACTTTACACTATTTTTTAAAAAAGTAGGCTCCATGCCCAATGTGGTGCTTAAACTCACATTACCCTGAGATCAAGAGTCGCATGCCCTTCTGACTGAGCCAGCCAGGCACCCTCTTACTTTTATTTTTAAATAAGGTGGAGAACAAATGAACAAACAGACAAACAAACTCACCCTTCATCATAGACTGTTTTTGTGATACCTCCTCCAGGAATACGAATACAAAACTCAGAATCATCTATTTCAGGAATGCATGGGCTTTTTTCCATTTCTTCCCAGTTAAGGCTCATTATTTTAGTTTGAACACTTTTTTGCACAAAAGGTGTGAGTAGGTATCTGAAGGGAGTACTAGAAGCAATCATATAATTAACTTTCTAAAAACCCACAATAAATAAGAACATTAAGGCAAGTTTTTAAAGCAAATGTTTGTTCTCTCTATATTCTGTTGCTAAAGCAAAGCACAAGTTTCAGCAGTCTACGGAATAACATGTAAAAATACTGCTCTGGCTTGCTATTTACGTACTTAGGAGAGTATAAACACACAGGCCAACTTAAACTAAGGCAAGGCCATCATGGAGATAACCTATTTCCCACAGCTATGCTCCCTTCTGGCCATGAGGCCTTTTGTGAGATTCCTAGACATGTTAGATCTATTTGTGAGATTACTAAAAATTAGCTCCAATTTTGAAAGGCTAGTCTTGGCTAATGTTTCTTCATCATGACTTTTTGGTGCATAAATGATAATGAAATAAATAGTTTATATTTCTATCTCTTGGATGTTTTGCCTACTATTTAGGAATTCAGTCTGACATGCCTGGGAGTTATACTTAAAGGCAAATGGATTTCTCTGATGGCTAAATAAATAGAAGTAAATAAAAATGTGAATCCAATCTTCCAAAAAATTATCATCCGATGAATCTTAGGTATTCTCTCTCTTTCTCTTCATCAGCTAGGCTCTGTGATGTCGCCACACACAATACCAATTGAAGCACAGTTCCAGAAACATCTCTATCTTCACACCAAAGCCTTCCTTGTGCCCCAACCATAGGACTACCTAACCATACTCCCTCCTGTCTCTTGACTTTCTTTTATCTTCTTTCTAAATTCCAGAGAGGGGAGGCAAAGATATACATGGCTTTTAAAACTTATTTTAGCTTTTTAACAGAGATACCATCATAATACTATGTAAATCATAACAAAATTTTTCAAAGGCAAAAACATACCTGCGAAGCTGTAGATCATTACGGTGATATGAATGACTGCTTGAAAGAACAATAACTTTGGCACAGTTACTACTTTTCACCCAGGAAAGCAGTTTTTCACAGAATGGCTTTGATTTATACTTTGTATACCATTGAAAGAATAAAAAGAAAGTCTAAAAGTTAGATCTTAGCATATAATAAGAGTATTCTATGAAATATTTTATCGACCTTATATAAAATCATAATTATTTTTAGATCCATTTACTGTCCTTAAAGTGAAGATGAGGGATGAAGAGCAAGGAATTTTTTATTGTATCTTTACAATTAAGAAATAAATCGTGAGGAATCTAGATTTCAAAAAAATTCTGACTGACAAGGGAAAATTTCCCAGTTCTCTAAGTAATCTATCATTACTTAAAAACTATCACATGGATATCTAGATGTTCTTGCTAGAAATTTCTGATCTGAACATGACCAGGAAATAATTAGGTGAACCTAGAATGCTGAACATCTGGCACTGATCCTCAAAGGAGTCAATATTGTGAAGAACAGAAAGAGGAGGAGGCCACTTCTACATCAACAGCTACCAACTAAAAAGATATTATAGTCAAATGTAACACGTGAAACTTGATTGGATCCAGAATTGAAGAATATTTTATGCAGCCACCCTGGAAAACAGTATGGAGGTTCCTCAAAAAGTTGAAAATAGAGCTACCCTACGACTCAGCAATTGCACTACTAGGTATTTACCCCAAAGATACAAATGTAGCGATCCGAAGGGGTATGTGCACCCCAATGTTTATAGCAGCAATGTTTACAATAGCCAAACTATGGGAAGAGCCAAGATGTCCATCAGCAGATGAATGGATAAAGAAGATGTGGTATATATACACAATGGAATATTATGCAGCTATCAAAAAAACCATGAAATCTTGCCGTTTGCAATGACGTGGATGGACTGGAGGGTATTATGCTGAGCGAAATAAGTCAATCAGAGAAAGAAAAGTATCATATGATCTCACTGATATGAGGAATTCTTAATCTCAGGAAACAAACAGGGTTGCTGGAGTGGTGGGGGTGGGAGGGATGGGGTGGCTGGGTGATAGACATTGGGGAGGGTATGTGCTATGTTGAGCGCTGTGAATTGTCTAAGACTGATGAATCACAGACCTGTACCCCTGAAACAAATAATACATTATATGTTAAAAAAAAAAAAAAAAAGATAGTAGGAAGGGAGAAATTAAGGGGGGGAAATCGGAGGGGGAGACAAACCATGAGAGACTATGGACTCTGAGAAACAAGCTGAGGGTTCTAGAGGGGAGGGGGTGGGGGGATAGGTTAGCCTGGTGATGGGTATTAAAGACGGCACATTCTGCATGGAGCACTGGGTGTTATACGCAAACTATGAATCATGGAACACTACATCAAAAACTAATGATGTAATGTATGGTGATTAACATAAAAAAATAAAATTAAAAAAAGAATATTTTAGGGACAACTGGGGAAATTTGAGTATGTCTCATGATACTACTATGTAATTCATTAAATGCTGATTTTCTTAGATAATGCTGCTGTGATTGTGAAGGAGAATCTCCTTATTCTTGAGAGATTCATGCTGAAGTATTTACGGGTAAAATATCATGACATCAGTGGCCTACTTTTGGAATCTTTGGCAGAAGGAAACTGTGCATGCACACGCAAAGAGAGTAGATCAAGCAGGTGTGGCAAAATGTTAACAGCTGTTTAATCTGGAAAGTGGGTTATGAAATTTTGGGGAGAAAAACTCACTTCATGGAAACTCTTCACAGACTGTTAATAAAATAATTATTCAATAGAATTTAAAATGCAGATAAGAAATAGCTAGCTTTTAAAATAGGAAGGTGGTAGAGTATGATTAAGAGAGGCAGGCTCTGGAGTCAAGCTGCCTGGTCTAGAATGCTGGCTCTACCTCCTACACAGACCGTGTGTCTCAGGGAAATTGGTTAATCTTTCTGTGTTCCAGTTTTCCTCATTTGTAAAATGAGGATAATGTTAGTACCTACTTTATCAGATTGTTGATTATAGGTGTGTGTGTGTGTGGCATATATAAACGTGTGTGTATATATGTATCTATTTATTTATATATTTATGTATATATATGTATGTGTATGTATGTGTGTATATATTTATTACTCAGCCATATTGGTGCAAAAAATCCATGTTCAATAAATATTTGCTAGTTTGAAGTCACTATTTCCACCTACCAAATATTTCATTAGGCACTTTTTTTTTTGCCTATCTTAATTCCTGAACTTACCCAAGTATTAAGAAGAGAACAGAAAAAGCCACATGCATGGCATAATGTAGAAATATTAGCAACTCTCACTGCAAAATTTTGAGTATATTATTAACTAAAAAAAGTAAAGAGTGATTCTAATGTAAATATTAAAATAATCATAGCATTATTCACAGTCATCTCAAACTGGAAAAAATCTAATGTTCCATTAACAGTACAACGGATAAATTATTGTTTGTTTATATAAAAGAATCCCACAGAGGTGGAGAATGAACGAAATACCTCTCCTTGGAACAACATGGACAGACCTCACAAATAGAAGGTTTAGTAAAGGAAGCTAGACATAAAGTACATACCATAAGATTCCATTTACATAATAATATAATAACTAGGATAGGGCATGGGGGAAAGCCTATGGAATGCTGACATATTTCTGGCTTCCCGAACAGTTGGTACTTAACCCACTTAACCAATATTTACCAAGTGCTTCTCTACATGCTAGGCACTGTTCTGGAAGTTGGGGATAAAAGAGTGAATGACACATTATCACTTCTCTCAGAAAACTTACTTTATACTAGTTGTAGATGATAAACAAATATATATGCCAAGTAGTGAGGAGCTGTGAAGAAAACCACGCCAGGATAAGACAATAGAAAGGGTGGTCAGGGAAGGCATTTCTGATGAGGTAACATTTAAGCAAGGACTGAAGGAAATGAGCCATTTAGGTATCTAGGGGAAAAGTATTCCAGGCAGGGAAAATAATGTAAAGACTCTGAGACAGGAGTTAGCTTAATCTGTCTGAACAACAGAGAGGCCAGCGTGGCTCAAGTAGGGGGAGTGAGAGAGGGAAACAGGCAATGAGCACACAGGAATGGCTTGGAGTTAGATTAGGCAGAGCAGCTGCCCAAGAGAATGCTCTGTGATAATGGAAGTACTCTTTATGGCAGCTGCTTGCCACGTGACTATGGAGAACTTCAAATGTGGCTAGTGGGAAGGAGGAACTAATTTTTAATTTTATTTACTTTTAGTTTATGAATCCAAATTTAAATAGCTACATGTGGCTAGTGGGTACCATACCAGGACAGAAGTAGAACCAGGATAAGCCAAGGTAAGGCTGTGAGTTCAGTGGGAGTCAAACAGGAAGCCACCAGAGGGTTTGAAGAGATAAGTGATGTGTTTGATTTAGGTTTAAAGGATCATTGGTGGTGCTATTTGCAAACAGACTATTAGGTATTTGTGGGAGTGGGTGGACAAGAACAAAATCAGGAGCATGAGAGAAGGCAGTGATTTGAACAATAGTGGTTGGTAGCAGTGGAAGAGGAAAGAAGTTAGATTCAGAATTTATTTTGACACATACATAATTTAAATGTACATGCCACTGGTTGAAATGTGATACAAATGGAATAAACCAAAAATATTCCTATGCTTAAATGTTTTCACCAATGCTACCTTTAGAGAATATACAAGACCCACCCTATATGTCCCAATTCAATATAATCATGAAATAATGGTAACACCTCTGAAATTTTATAAGATTGGTTCTCTATAGAACCAGACTTTTCTTAACTGTACATAAAGAGAGCAAAATTGAGTTTTGAATCTTAATTCTCAATAATATTGACAGTATTTTCTCATATTTTACTTTGATCACCTTAAAAAGACAAATATAATATACTAACCTTAATAAAAATGGATCTTAACTGAAGAGCCACTAGCTTCTTTGAAGGCAATGAATATACTACAAAGACAAAAAAATGAAATAAGATACTTAATATGATGGAGTTATACAAGTGAAAATACTAACATAAAAACTAAATTGAATTGTAAGAACTTTTATACCTAATATTTTCAATAATTAAATATAAAACATATGAACTGTATCATTCAGTTAAAATAAAACATTTTAGAAGTACCTTAAAATGCACCTGTGGGCTTTATTCTATGGAAGAGATTCATTCCTGACAAGTTAATGGTTTATCTTATTTTAATTTGTTTTAGAGGTCAGGGGCATAGGGAGAGAAAGAATCTTAAGCAAGCTCCATGCCCAGTGCGGAGTCCAATGTGGGGCTTGATCTCACAACCCTGACATCATGACCTGAGTCAAAATCAAGAGTTAGACATTTAACGGAGCCACACAGGCGTCCCTGACAAGAGAACTGTTAAGAAAATACCAAAAATTGGGTGGGGGGATGGGTTAGCCTGGTGATGGGTATTAAAGAGGGCACGTCTGCGTGAAGCACTGGGTGTTATGCACAAACAATGAATCATGGAACACTACATCAAAAACTAATGATGTAATGTATGGTGATTAACATAACAATAAAAATTTAAAGAAAAAAAAGAAAATACCAAAAATTATTTTTCTTCTGTGATTGTAAGACCAGAGAAGTATGCCTCTGGAGACTTCTGGCATTATGACCAATAAAATTCTTACGAGTATTTTTAGTTTCTGATATTCTCCCTTCTTCTCATTAGAGAATAGTGAAACTCATTGGGATTAAGAGAATAAAGAATGGGGCGACTGGGTGGCTCAGTCATTAAGCGTCTGCCTTCGGCTCAGGTCATGATCCCAGGGTCCTTGGATCGAGCCCCGCATGGGGCTCCCTGTTCAGCAGGAAGCCTGCTTCTCCCTCTCAAGTCCCCTGCTTGTGTTCCCTCTCTCGCTGTCTCTCTCTGTCAAATAAATAAATAAAAAAAAAGAATAAAATGCAAGAGAATGTTGGCCATATGTTAAAATCTCTGAAATAGGCACATTTGTGTTCTTTAGCAGTTTCTGAAACATAACATGCAAAATAAATGTAAAATTTTCTGTGAGTCAATGTGTGTGTTCTTCTTCTGGGAAAAGGATCCATAATCTTCATCACATTCTACAAGGATCCTACTTTGCTGATGTTTAACATGTCCCTGTCCAAGAACCAGAAGCTCTGAAATAAACCAAGGACGAAATCTGGAGTCTCTTGGAGGCATGATTAGGCCCCTGTGCTGAAGGTTAAGCTTTTAGTTACTGTAAATAACCCAGACTTCAGCAAATTCTTTGGTAGTTCATGTCTCTCCAGTTATAGGTCTTTTGGGAGAGTGTCTTGTTGGACCTCTGTGGTGTGATTGGGGGCTAAGCTGCATCAGCAAGTCTAGTGACTACCAGGTATGTTCAGGACAAGAAGGCAAGAGCAGAAAGTTAGGAATTAAGGAAAAGAGCACAAATTTAGGGGAAAGGGAATAAGATGTGGGCCATTCAGGCCTGTAGTCTATCTCTGACATACATATCTAGTGCAATTCAACAGACCTAGTAGGAACAGATAGATCTGTAGGGAGTGAGCAAATATAAGATACACCACCTCCTATAATAGCAACACTCATATTCTCTATCAGTGTATCATGCTAATCTTTTTTGTTGTTAAGATCCTGCTTCCCATTACTTTTCTGATGTGATACAATATGAAACCAACATCACCTTTCATGTATTCTGGCACAAAATATTTAGCTTTTACCTAACAAAGCCTTTAGATCTAAATACGGTTACAGAAAATACAGAGACTAGAGGAACAAGCCAAATGACACCACAAGGAAGATATTAAATGTAGCAGTTGAGACATCTAAGACAATGGGTCCAGTTTTTTCCTCAGTAAGTCAGTTTCATGTAGAAGGAAAAAAAAGAGACTGCTCCTAGAGTAAAACAAATTTCAGCGGCACAATAATCAGATGACTACTATGGGTCTTTGTTTAGACTAACTTTAAAGGACATTTTAGGGTAAATTGGAACAATGTGAATATGATAGGGTATAGGAAGACACTAAGAAACTCCTAATTTTGTTAAATGTGATGGTATTTTAGCTATACAAGAAAATGTTCTTAAGAGATACATACTTGCATATTTGAAGATAGAATGTCATGATGTCTACAATTTATTTTAAAATACCTCATCTTAAAAATAAAGTGGATTAAAGGACTTCATCCAATTGACTTGCTGCAAGTTTTTGTCCAAGAAAAGCCAGTAGGTCTTCTCCTAGAGTGAAAGTGCATTAGCAGGGTGGTGTGGTGCTTAAGAGGCAGGTCTCAGGGGCCAGAGCCTTGATTAGAAGCTCAGTTACACCAATTATTAATCATGTGACCTTAACTTCTCTGTGCAATGGTTTCCTCATCAATAAAACTACGCATAGAGTAGTTGTGAAGATTAAATGAATTAACACATTTAAACGCACAGTGTTCAGCTCATAGGAAATACTCAATAAAATGACAGTTGTTATTAGTGGAAGTACATAAATTCTAGTTCTACCATTTACAGTCCTTTATCCTTTAAGGCAATAACTGAAATTCAGTCTTGTGTTAGCAGAGTCATCTTTGCTGCAGCAATTTTAATATTAAGGTGTTTTGTTTAAGATTTTATTTATTTGTGAGAGAGAGAGAGAGAGAGAGAGAGCACAAGCAGGGGGAGTGGCAGGCAGAGAGAGAAGCAGGCTCCCTGCTGAACAAGGAGCCCGATGCGCGGCTTGATCCCAGAACCTGAGATCATGACCTGAGCTGAAGGCAGCTGCTTAACTGACTGAGCCACCCAGGCACCCCTTAAGGTTATATTTTGAAAGTTTATTTCATTATTGCAAGCTAATGGCACCATTAATAAGATGGACAAAAAAAAAGTTCATTTGTCTTTTAGCTCATCAATGGTCTTTCATGCTACTCTACCACCTGTGGCTTTCACCTTAAAATGGAAAACAGAAAACTGAGCGGCCAACAGAGCAGCTTGCCATCAAAGCAAGTGGATACTCCTGTGCCTCATAGATCAATAGCTTTCCCCTAGTAACTCAGGGTAGTACCACATTATAAACACAGTGGTCAGTGCAATGTCAACTGTGTTCCCCAATTAATCAAGCTTGATGGCCTAATGAGGAACTATGATTTATGGTATGGGAAAAGCCTACATCTACTAGTAGTATTAGGCAACTCTATCTCTCTGAGCCTTACTGATATTACATTATTATGGATTCTATAATAATATGAAAGGATGAGTAGCGCATGTTAAACATAGAGGACTGAACCTGGTGGAATTCTTTTCCCTTTTCCTTGGTATTAGTGATGCTTATACTTGCCAGAAAGAACAGAAATTAAAACTGAGGATAAAAGAAGGAAAAAAAACCCACCTTATATTAAAAAAAAAAAGGAAACCTCAAATTCTAAAGAAGTACAGTCATCATAGGAATTGCCATTTAGAAAAGGCTAAGAACTAAAACCAGATATAAGAGAACAGGATGTGACTAGGTCATAAATTCTGCACAAAGCTGGCACTAAGTACATGTTTGCTATAAAACAGTATCTGTAGAATCTACTTCTAATTTAAAACAACTCTTCCTTATAACAGAATAAAACAGGCTTAAGTCTTACATACTTTCAGCATTTATACTGAGTTCTGTTGAATTTTCTTCTGCAGTTGCATATGGATTGTTTCCAACCATCGGCACAAGACAATCGGTATAGAAGTAACCAATCTTACACATATTTAGTGTAGAAATAATCAAATCCATTGCAAGCTGGCCAACATTTCCAACAGATACTGCTGGCTGAAATAACAAAAAATATATGTTCATTAAATCATCAAAATTAGCAGCACTTTTAAAAGTTTAGACAGAAGACAATAATCACAGGACTACTTTTGGATGGTTATGCTCAGGTACATAATAGCTGGATAGAGACTCTTTCATTAGCTGCAACTGAGGTGTCAGCAGGGGCTTCCTCTACTTTTGAGACGACTGATTTAACACTTATGGAACACCTACTACATGTCAATCATTACTCTAGGCACTAGGAACGCAGTAAGACAAACCGATGAAAGTTCCTGCCCTTGTGGAGGTTCCATTCTAGTGAGGGAATAATTTAATGTAATAAAATAGTGAAATGCACGCATGCTTCACTTTATTGAACTTCACAGAGAATGTGTTTTTTACAAATTGAAGGTTTGTGGCAACCCTGCCTCAAGGAAGTCTATCAGCACCATTTTTCCCACAGCATTTGCTCACTTTGCGTCTGTTACATTTTGGTAAATCTCTCAATATTTCAAACTTTTTCAATTATTATATTTATCATTTGATCTGCAATCAATGATTATGACTCACTAAAAATTCAGATGATGGTCAGCATTCTCCAGCAATAAAATCTTAAAATTAAGGTATGCGCACTTTTTAGACATAATACTATTGCAAACTTAATTGACTACAGTGTAAACATAACTTTCACATGCACTGGGAAACCAAAAAATTCATCTGACTTGCTTTATTGTGATATTCACTTTATTGCTGTGGTTTGGAACCAAACCCCCAATATCTCTGAGGTATGCCTGTATACAGTGGTAAGTGCTATGGAGAAAAATTAAGTGAGAGTGTGTATATGTATGTGGTTGGTTGCAATTTTAAATAGGGTGATCATGAAAACAATTACTCTATAGCTGACCTTAATCACAGACCTGAAAGATGTAAGGAAGACAGTCACACAAAGACCAGGGAAAAAAACACTTCAAGCAGTGGGAAAGCAAGGGTAAAGTCCTCTTGGGTCATCCTTCCATTTGCTTTGTTAGTGCCTAAAGGTTGGAGTCAGCTTCTTTTCACATTAAACACACACGCATATTTATCCCCACGACTTCAAAGAGTCCAATTGTCAAATCTCTATCTATAGCCCAAAACATCTGAACTTCAGATCCTAATGGTTATGTCCACATGGTTATCTCATAGGCAATGCATATTCAACATGTACAAAACTAAACTTCTGCCTAAACTTGTCCTCACATTTTGCATTTTAGAAAAGAGCAACACTTGCTCATCTGATTACCTAACCCAAAAAACTTCTTCCTTTTCTCTCACAAACCACATCTAATACATGTCTAATTTTCATTGATTCTATTTTCAAAGTATCTCTGTAATGTAGCTCTTCCTTTGCATTCTTCTAGGAACTGCTTCCCCCACCATCTTATTTTTCTGGGTCTCTTAGGGTGGTCCCCCACTTTTCATTGCTCTCATCTACTAACCTTCTGGTTATCTCCTGTAATTCCCTTTCCTCTTCTCAAGGATTTTGCTACTTTAGACCCTCACTCTCCTATATCATCCACATTTTCTTCACTATTGGATTCTTCCCATCATCATATACACATGCTGTAATCTTTCCTTCTAAAATACCCCCACCCTCCCACCCCACCCCCATCCCACACTCTGCTAAAATACCCTCCCTTGATCCCACATACTCCCCTAGTTACTGCCTCACTTCTTGGTGTCTCTCCATAGACAAAATTCCCTAGTTGTCCACTAAAACATAAGCAGGAATTTTATCTCTGAATTGATAAACAAATACATACATATACATGTCTCCATCCCTTCTTCCATTTATTCAAACCACTCCAATATGGCTTCCCTCCCTTCACCACTCACTGGTAACTGTCAAGGTTACCACCAATAATCTTTTGGACATTATTTTCCCTATGAATCTTTCTCTTTTTTTTCTTCTGCTAGGTATCTTACTAGCTGTCTCTGCAGAAGTCTGGACTCAAGGTCAACTGATATGGCTGCAGCCTATGAACAAGCAAGGCCCTGAATTGCTTACCTTAACAAGAATGAGCCTAAGACCCCATCCAGGTTGTACTAGCTCTCAGAGCATGCCCACAGCCCCTTTTCCTTGTCCTAAGATAACCTCCTGACATCAGGGACTCAATTTTCCTCATTCTGATGTCAAGTCTTCCCCCCAAAGTAAACACAGGAATATATGGTACATATATGTTTCATCTCCTGCAAGGATACCTTTCCCTTTTGTGATCAAATATTTTTCAGGGAGATACTTTGAAATTATATAAAATTTCCTTCAGTACATTATCACACACTAATTTTAACATTCATTCATATTTCTTGCACGCATCGTTAAGGTGAGAATTGCCCCAAGGTGATTACCATCATTTAAAAAACTGAGATATAACTGACATATAACATTGTATCAGTATTAGGTAGATAACATAATTTGATATATGTATATATTGTGAAAAGATTACCACAAGTTTACTTAACATCAATCAACCAGTTACAAATTTCTCTTGTAATGAGAACTTTTAAGATCTACTCTCTTACCAAGTTTCAAATACACAATATTGTTTATTATAGTCACCATGCTGTACAATACACCAGGACTTATTTATAACTGGAGATTTGTACCTTTTAACTGCCTTCATCTATTTCATTTCAAGCAGCCCTCATCCTCACCCTTCTCTGGCAACCACCAGTCTGTTCTCTGTATCTATGAGGGTACCCCCCCATTCCACACGTAAAGCTTTAACAGGTCCTTACGTCCCTCCCCCTCCCAGTACGCCCTAGGATTCTTCCGTACCCTTTTCAAAGTGCTATCCTACCATTTATTGCCCTTATTGGTTTACGTGTGTTTCCAACTAGACTACACACTTCTTGAGGACAAGGACCTAGTCTTATTTTAATATTTTTACAATACAGAATGTTTATTGAAACAGTGACTGAATATGGGCAATTTTAGGAGCAATAAAACCATGTGTTAGCTACTGGCTAAGATTACTTTTATGACCTTACCTGTAGTTTTCTAGTTAATGAGAAAGTCTTGCCAGCTTAAGACTGGCTCTGATACTAGATGAAGAAAATTTTCTAGGATATAATAATCATAAAAAATGGCCCCTACAACCTATGTACAACGTTACCTGTAATAACCAAACACATTACGTTGTACAGTCAACGAAGACTACAAACTCTAGTCTCAGAAACGTTCGGTGAGAGCGCCAACAGATTCTATCTGAAGCGCCGCACCTAGCGACAACCTGTCTTCGGTGCAGGCTGAAAACCTGAAGCAGAAGCAAGTACCGTCCTCTGTCCCAGGCCCGGTGAAACACCTCGACTGGCGGTGGCGGACCCCCGGGAGCCTCCCGACAGGAAGCACCCCAAGCCGGGCACGCGGAGCTCGCGAAAGCGGGGACTCACCATTAGGAAAGTGTAGCCCGTGAAGTCGGGGACCGACTCTCCACAGGGAACGAACATGGTCGCACAGAAGTGGGAGTACGGGGTGAGCGCGGGCCTGGGAGAAACGAGGACCGCGCAAAAGCAAAACCGCGAGCGCCTCGCCGCGTCGGTGCGTCGGAGTCCCCAGAGCCCCTAGCGACGGGGGCGGGGCGGGGCGGGGCGGGGCGGGGCCCGTCGTGCGGCTCGGCGTGGGGTCCTGAAGGGCCCGTCCAGCTATCTGCCGGTCCGCAGGGCGGAAAGGGCCCGCGACCGGGGAAAGATGAGGGCGGGCAGCTCCTGCGGAGACCCTGGCAGGGCAGGCCGATGGGGAGCGCTGAGCTCGTGGGATGGGGACCCCCAGGGAAGGGAGCGGCAGGCGGAGGTGGTCAGGCAGGGAGGGGGGCAGCCCGAGCCCTGGTAGTCCGCGCCGTTTGAAAGCAACAGTTGAGCGCCGCCGCTGCCTCGGCTCCCGCCCAGCCCCGGCCCTGACGTGGCGTCGCGCCCTCCGGGAGCTGCGTGAGGCCAATCGGTCGCGCCGGCTCTGCTCAGCCGCGACTGGCTTTCCGGGGCTGGCCGGGGCGCGCCCGAAGCGGGGAGAAGCGCGGTGAGGCGCCGGCCCCAGCATGTCGCTGCCTCCGGAGAAAGCCTCGGAGCTGAAGCAGCTCATCCACCAGCAGCTGAGCAAGGTGAGGGCCGCGGGCGCCGGGCTACACGGGCCCCTCCGGCCGCCTTCGGTGCTGAGCGCCCAGCCTGGCGTCCCGATGCCCAATCGACGGCGGCGCCTGTTTGCCGGGGACGCGAGCGCAGGCTGTGGGGGCAGAGCGCGGGCTGGGCGGGCTCCGGGTCTGCAGCCGGGGCCGCTTTCTAGCCTCGGTGAAAGAGAACAATGCTGGCAAGTACTAGTGAGAGTTTGAGGTGACAGAACGCGGCAGAGCGATAGCACGGCTGTGAAGATAAAGCGTTCATCCTGCGGTTACTGGGTATCAGATCCGGTACAAGTTGTGTTTGGAGCAGGTGTATATTCAGAGTTCAGGAATTAGAATTACGTTAGGGGTGAAACTTACTTCTTTGAAGTTGAAACAAATCAGCAATTTTTAAAGAAGTCATGAAAGGGAAGTTAGTAAAGGTCTTGTAATGAAAGTGTTTGTGGTACTTGGGAGCGCAAGAAGAACATTGTTAAGGTGCTCAGCTGAATGCAGTAAGCTGAATTAATAAAAGCTACCGTTTATTGTACACTTGTACGCCAGGCTTTGTGGTAAGTGTTTATTTAGCATCTTTTACCGAAACCTCACAGTAATCTTGACAGGGCACTATTTTTTCCACGTTCATAAAGGGTAAAAAAGTTGACTCAGGGTCACATCTAATAAGTTGAAGGCTGAAATTCGTACTCTGATCTCCTCCTCCAGGTCTGTGTTCTCTTGATTATACTACACTCTCTTTCAAAAGGTCTGTTTTTGTTGAGTGTTATTTGTGGGGAAATGGTAACAAAGGTAGTAGATAACCAGTAGAAATTATTTCTAGAATTTGTACTAAAAAAAGAAATTCATCCTAAAATTTTTTTCTTTTAAAAAATCTTACCTTTATTCTCATTGAATTCTGGTAACAATTTTACGTTTACTATTAGCTTGAGAAGCCTTCCTGAATTTTGTCTATCCACGCTCCCGTTTTTTTCCTTTGGGTGTTTTAGAAAGAAATTAGTTAATTGGCAACGTTTGATGGCTTCATAAATGTAAATTGTAATGCGAGTTTTCTACATAGATGGATGTCCATGGCAGAATAAGAGAAATCCTTGCTGAGACAATACGGGAAGAATTGGCACCGGATCAACAACAGTTATCAACGGAAGATTTGATCAAAGCCCTTAGACGTCGGGGAATCATTGATGATGTGATGAAAGAACTTAATTTTGTTACTGTGAGTAATCTTTTAGGGGAAAAATTTTGAGAGTATGTTCCCATGCTTAGTGCTGATTATAGGGTTCGTATTTGGGGCCTCTTTTTAGTAAAAATCACTTTAAAACAAGACCATTTTTGTCTAGTAATATCCTTCAAGTATAAGCTAATTCTACCCTTTATTGTAGCAAGTAGGATAATGTATCAAAGAGATTGGAGTTACATACTATATTTTTCTCTCTAAAATGACAGAATTTTCTGTTGTCATTCTCTAGTTCTGTAACTGTAAGTGTACCTATTTCAATTAAATTAGTTCACCATAACCTAGTTTCTTTCCACTAGTGTTCTATAATTTTTTTAGATTAGGCATATTTTTTAAATAAACACATTCTTTTGGAAATCCATTCTCTATGATTAACAAATTACCAATTTGTTTAAGAAAATAATTGTGTAAGAACCTTCAAATCTCTTTATACAAATAGGTCAGTAGTGGGATGATAGCCTCAGTGCACAAATTAGTAAGTAGGCCTTCTTTTGAAAATGAGGCAATAATGAGAAACTGTGACCTAATAATACCTGGGTAATATAATGTAAAAATTGGATGGACTGCATAATACACCAGGGAATAAGTATTTTAATACAGCCTCCTTTTTTGGTTTTTGAGGTTTATAAACCCATTTGTTTAAAAATTGACCCAATAACAACTTCTGTGTGAATGTCATTCCCTTATTAAAATCAATTCATGGTAGAATCATAAGTCAAATGTCATATTAGGTTTAGAAAAAGTTTAACCTTGTTTAAGGTATTAAGGATTTGTCTTTTTGCGTTCTGTGGACATTGAAGACAGTTAAATTCCTTATTAGATTTTAGGCGTGACCAGTTGCATCATCTTTTTTTGCAGGCTTTTCATTATTTTAATTGTACTGAGAAAATAAGAGTTTCTTTGAGGGGGCTTTATCCTATCTACTTTTATTTACTTCTTAGTCCCATTGTTGACATTTCCTTGCTTAGCCATAATTTTTGCTTTCTAATTTGTTTTCATTTTTTTTCCTGCCTTTCTAGGATAGTGTTGATCAAGAGCTACCTTCCTCTCCAAAACAACCTATTTGTTTTACTGATAGACATTCAACGTTGTTAAAAAAAAGTATGTGTATTTCTTTTTAACATTGATTTTGTTTTGCACAGTATTACATATTGATGTGCTGTAATGTTTGGTACTTGATAGAAAACATTTTTTCTTTCTCAAACGAAATACTTACCATTTTTGTGATTAATCATCCAAAAAACTTAGATTCTGTTTTGCATGAAGTATGTATGTCAGAAGATTTAATGTATCACAGAGTGGAAGCAAAAACAGGATCACCTGTTTCTCATGTTTTAATAGTATATTTTACAAACTTTATACAGCCTTGCTTTTCTTAATGGTAATTACCTAACAAGTACACTTGCTGGGTTTATATTTGTCTGAGTTGGTTTGTGGAGGTGAAGGAGTGTTGGATAAGCAACCAAAAAGTAAAGGTTTCTTAAACCTTGGTTCTGACTCCTTTCTAACTGGGAAAAAGTAGCCAGTATATAAACTCAGATAAGATAGCTTATTCATGTTTTCTTCCCTGGTTGTAAATGGTCCTGGTATAGAGTAAATTTGTTACTCTTTTTCTTTATTTAGTCTTTGGTTTTATTTCTGTTAAGTTATTATTTCCTATTGTCTTGATCACATTCCTTAAGTTATTTGGCAGTTTCCTCATATATATTGCTACACTTTACAGCTAATATTGATCCAACACGGAGGTATCTTTACCTTCAGGTTTTGGGTGGAAAAGCTTTTTTGGAACATCTACAAGAACCTGAGCCTTTACCGGGACAAGTTTGTTCAACTTTTACTTTATGTTTACATTTTCGAAACCAACGTTTTCGTTCTAAACCTGTTCCATGTGCCTGTGAACCAGATTTTCATGATGGCTTTTTACTTGAAGTACACAGAGAAAGCTTAGGTAAGGAGCAATGATAATTTGTCACTTAACTGAGTAAATCTTTGTTAGGTTTTATTGTAGAACAACCATAACAACTTTTGCTGTAAGGAGAGATTTATAATGAATGAATCTTCCTACTTTGCTTTTATTTTCTCCACTGCTCTTTTTTATATAAATGACTTCCACCTACCTTCTTGCTTTATTTTCTGCTTATTAATTTTCCCTGAAGATTGTTTTTTATTGTCTTAATGGTTGCCTCGTTAATAGTAAACTTTTAAATGCGTATGGTGGGGGGCTGGGTGGCACAGTTTCTGACTTTTGATTTTGGGTCAAGTCATGATCTAAGGGTTGTGGGATCGAGCCCTGCATCGGTCTCTGCGTTCAGCACAAAGTCTGCTTGAGATTCTCTCTCCCTTTCCCCCCTCCCACTTGCATGTGCGCATGCGCACTCAAATCAATCAGTCAAACAGTAAATGCCTGTTAGGTGCATTATGCTATGGTAGGTAAGTGCTGCGGATATAGTGGAGAATGAGACATAATCCTCATTTATGAAAGATAGCTAAATTTACGATGTTAATGTAACTTTCAAAAATAAAAATTAGGATGGGCATCTGTAACTCTCATTTTTATAACTTTAAAATTATATACTTGATTCCCATAATTGTTTTACATTATTTCTATTAATGTATTTTGTATGTTAGTTCAATATAGAAATCTTTACATTTGTAAACTTAGCAAAGTTATAAAATTATACCTTCAGAATTTTAGATAGTTAATACATTACAGAAAAATTTTTTTTGCCCCCAGTGAAAAATGTTGCCCTAATAGGGCTGTTTAAAAAAAAAAAAAGAATTAATTAATTTGAGAGAGAGAGAGCGTAAGTGAGCACGAAGGGTGGGGAGGGGGAGGAGCAGACTCCCTGCTGAGCAGGGAGCCTGACATGGAGCTCAGTCCCAGGCCCCTGAGATCATGACCTGAGCCAAACGCAGATGCTTAACCAACAGAGCCACCCAAGTGCCCCAGGATTGTACTATTTTTTATAAAGTAATCTGTTGCATGCTTTTTGAGGCATTACCAAATTATTTTATTTGGTTTTATATAAGTTTATTATTAGTATTCTTTGTAATAAAAGTATTCTTCTGTGTTGGCCTAACGGAATATGTAATGTGGTGCATTTGGTTTATGTTGCCAGGTGATGGAACTCGAATGGCTGATTCAACAACAATGTTATCAATAAGTGATCCAGTTCATATGGTGCTAATCAAAACAGACATATTTGGTGAGACTACTTTGGTAGCATCCTATTTTCTTGAATGGCGATCAGTTTTGGGCTCAGAAAATGGAATGACCAGTCTTACTGTGGAACTTATGGGTGTAGGTATGATGATTAATCACTGTTACCTTTTTATAGCCACAGCTTGTTTATAAATACATTTTATGTTTTCTGAATACCTTTGTAAACCAAGAAGGAAACATGTAAAAAGAATTTCATTAGGGGGCACCGGACTCTTGGTTTCCGCCCAGGTATTGATCTCAGGGTTGTGAGATCCAAGTCCCGCATCAGGCTCTGCACTCAGCACGGAGTCTGCTTAAGACTCCCTCTCCCTTTCCCTCCCCGCCTGCACTTGTGTGCATTCTCCTCCTGCCTAAAATAAATCTTTTTAAAAAATACTTAAAAAAAAGGATTTCATTAGAATTATAGTTGGACTGTAGTATTGTAGTCTTGGGAAACGTCATGAAGCATGTTATAACTATAGAACTTCACAGTCAATCTGACCTTGTCTTAAGGAAAAAATTTTTTATGGGGCTTACTTGCTCTTTCTTTTTTTAAGATTTTATTTATTTGACAGAGAGAGAGAGCATGCACAAGCAGGGGGAGCAGCAGAGGGCGAGGGAGAAGCAGGTCTCCACTGAGCAGGGACCCTGATGCGGGGCTCGATCCAGATGCTTAACCGACTGAGCCACCTAGGCGTCCCCTGCTTTCTTTCTTTTTTCAAATTTATTTGATTGTATATAAGACTGTAAAGAAAATTAAGATTCTTCACACACATGCATATGTAAAAACCCTCTATTCCAGCACACTCCAGTGTACAGTGCATCCCCATTAGTACCAGTGTCTTCCTGCAGCAAGGGTTCTTACAGGTTATGGAGTTGATATTCTTCCATCCTTTTACATGTGGGAATGTGGGACTCAAAGAGGTACTAACTTGCTCATTGACAATATCTGTGAATAGTACTCTTTGAGGACAGAGATGGTGCCGATCTTATTCACCATTGTCTCCTTGGACTCTTGCATGCTACCTGATGTGTAATACATATTTGCTAATAAAATAAGACCTACCAATATTTTATGCATAACATGTAAAGGAATTACTTTGGTATTGAAACTAAATTGCATAGTCTAACCTGGCCAGTGGACAGTATAGCTTTAGGACTTTAGATTCTGATAAGTCAGACCCGGAATGTGTTTTTCCTTAAATAGAAAGTAGGGGAAAAAGTTTTATGTGGGATATTTATTTTCAAAAGATACCCAGTATTTGTCTTCAGATACAGCCCTAACATGGTTATCATAGTAGTGACCAAGAAACAAGTATATTCTGATTCACCAGAGAAATAGTAAATAGTTCTGGTAACAAAAAAAAAAAAAGTATATTTTCTGATTCTTTAAATCCAGGAATGGATTGTAAATTTGTACTCACATGTGATGTGAAAAATGGGAAGGGATTAAAAAATATATATAGGAAGGGATAGATAGGAATTACTATATATGATAAAGTATAAATATTTTCTGAGAATGAGATGTTAACTGTTGCTTTACTTTGTTTTTGATGTAAATCTGGTTGGCATACGTTTTTGTCTTCATTAAATTAAGAATACCAATTCCTGTATATCCAAACAGCCCCTTAAAATGTGATAAGCAAACTCAGAAAATAGGTAATCTCTTTATAATCAAATAAAGGTCTTCACGCAAAATAAAAACTAATATGATTTGGTTCATTTTTAATATGAATATTAAAGATGATGTTGAATATTATCTGTATTTCACGTAAGAGGTAAAGCACAAAATTCTTTAATTATTTTGGTTAGACTTTGGCTGACTAAATATACATAGTTTGGAAACCTCTGAAGTTCTAAATATTTATTTAAATTTATAGGCACAGAATCAAAAGTTTCTGTGGGAATTTTAAATATAAAACTTGAGATGTACCCACCACTCAATCAAACATTATCTCAAGAAGTAGTGAACACACAGGTAAATAATTCTGAATTTCTCTTCTTTGTGTATTTGTTTTCATAGTGGTATATTTACTTGTTGATCCTAGAAAGTACTCTCTTTTTAGAAAATTATCACTTACTAGTTTTAAGCAAAAGAATGACAATATGATCTATTTAAAAATGTTTGTCTTGTGAGAAAAGATCACTAAGCATTATATGGAGATGAGATTATGGGGTGGGGTATAGATACAGGGAAGTCAGACAGGAGGCTCTTAGAGATAGATGGTAGAGATGATAGCTCATGTTAGGGTGGTGGTAGAGATGGAGAAAAGGATGCTGAATTGTTACATATTTTAGAGTATGTAAGGAGAAAAAAATTGAAGGAAATATTTTTTTATATTTCAAGCTTGCTTTGGAACGTCAGAAAACTGCAGAGAAAGAGCGATTATTTCTTGTATATGCAAAGCAGTGGTGGAGAGAATATTTGCAAATTCGACCTTCACACAACTCACGGCTGGTTAAGATTTTTGCACAGGTTTGTAAATTGCATTAGAAAAGGTTCACACCTATATTTGAGATTTATTGTTGCATATGTAAATTTCAATTAAGATGAATTTGTAAAATGTATTTATTCCAGACAAATGAAACTATTTGTAAAAATCGAGTATGATTTTATAGTACTCTTTCACTGAGTAGGTGACATAACAATCTTTGTTTTATTTTGCTTTTCATTTTCAATTATTCTTTTTAAATCCTTTTTGAATATATTTGATTTAAAATAGATGAAGACCCACTTTGTTTAATTTGGAGTGTGATATTTAGTACTAAATGATTAAATACTAAGATACTTTGCAGTTGATAATGTAAATTCAGCTTTCATATACAGAAGTGGGGCTCTGTGCATGTATGTTTAGGCATATACATTATTAGGCTATCTTCTTAAAGACATTATTACATGTAATAATTCCATATAGCCAAAATCTCTGAACCAGTGACCAGTAATATTTAACTGCAGCATTTCAGTTCTGTATCTCTGCTTCTATTTTCCTGTATCCTAAGCCTATTTTCTCTCATTAACATATAATCATATAATATATTAGATCATATATTTTGTAACTTCTGAGGAACCATTCACATATTTTATATTTATCCAACCTTATGTAGATGCTTTTATGAGTTATAGTGTGGTGGTATTTTGACTAATATATCTCAGATCCTGTGCGTTTATGTAGTGTTACCCTACGTAGTAGGATGGGCTAAGAGTAGTCAGTTTCTAGATGAGGAGCTTAAAAGTGGGAGAGCCTCATTGACTAGTGGTGGAAAAGAGGGAAACAGCTTCTCACTTTCCAGGAGCATTGTCTATGCGTTGTTTGCCTGGGCAGACAGGTAGCATTGATGTCAGGATGGGGCAAAGAGAAACCAGTCAAAATATAACTGGCTCCCTGCTGTCTATTTAGTCTGAGGTGAGGTTATGCATTGCCATGTGGAATCTGGGACCAGAGAAGAATGGGTGGGTGAGGAAGCGAATCAGAGAAATGGCAAATGAAAGAGGAGGAGAAAGAGGATGATGCAGTTATGCAAATCGGAACGGGGATATTTTTTAGCAAATACTACTTAAACAAGTTCCCATCTCTTAGAATTCATTGTAAGAAGATTTGAACCACATAAGGTAACTTAGTCTCATGGTAACCATATGAGATTGTCAGTTGGCCAGGCATTGCCACTTTTTATAAAAAACAGTATAAAAGAGAAGAGTAAAATATTTTTCCTAATATCAAACAGCAACTTAGTCATGGAGACTCCATTAAGTTGCAGTTTCAACTAGTGCTTTTTTGGTTTGCCTGGACCACCTCTGGATAAATAGAGTAAAAATGTTTATCTTACTTCAGTTCCCCAAAAGTGTCTTTTGCTGCTGTGTTCTATATTTGACTAGATATGAAGTTAAGGAACAATAACATTTATTTAAGGCAGTCAGTCTAATCACAAAAACTAATTTTAAACCAAAAAGTTATTATACATGGTCTGAAATGAATTTCCAGTGCTTCTAGGCACAAGAGAAAATAGTTTACAGCAGCACTGTCTTCCTGCAGTGATGGAAATGTTCTCTGTGCTGTCCAGTATGATAATCATTGAACTATTGAGCATGCAAAATGTGGCAATACAGAACTGAATTTTGAATTTTATTTAATTTTATTTAAAAAGCCACATGGGATTAGTGGCATTCTTAATGGACAGTGCAGGTTTAGAAGCTAAAGTACCGAAATTTTCAAGACATTTTGTTTATGGGGATATAGATAATATGAGAAATATTGCTGTAATGAAACATATAATGATATATCTTGTATTCTCAGATGTTACTATTGATGATTGATTTAGGGCAAATGCATCCACTTTTTAGGTACTCATTCCTTTCCTCTCTGTTGGTGGAGTTGTAAAAATAGGACTAAATGGCCCACTCAGGAACTCAGTTAATTACCTTTATCCTAACCAAACATCTGTAGAATCCTTGGAGTTGTTTTACTTAATAATCTATTGTACTTTTTCTTCCTCACTTGCTTGTTTTGCTATAGTACGATAGTAATTCACTTAATGATAGCTTTTAAATTTTCTAGTGTAAGAAATTTTAAAGTAAGTTATAGAAATTGATCTTTAAGGCCTTTTTTTTTTTAAGATTTTATTTATTCATTTGAGACACAGAGATAGAGAGAGAGCACATGAGCAGGGAGAGAGGGAGAGGGAGAAGCAGGCTCCTCGCTGAGCCAGGAGCCCGATGTGGGGCTTGATCCCAGGACCCTGGGATCATGACCTGAGCTGGAGGCAGACGCTTAACCATCTGAGCCACCCAGGCGCCCCAAGGCCATTAAGTTTTAAGAAAATGTTATAAATCACTTGAGGTTGGAGGCTATCCTTTTAATGTTCAGATTTTGATTTCAAGACAATATTCTCACACTATACTAGATTAATAATACTGAGCTAATGTGGGGGTGCCTGGGTGTCTCAGTCGTTAAGCGTCTGCCGTTGACTCAGGTCATAATCCCAGGGTCCTGGGATCGAGCCCCCGCATTGTGCTCCCTGCTCCGCGGGGAGCCTGCTTCTCCCTCTTCCACTCCCCCTGCTTGTGTTCCCTCTCTCTCTGTGTCTCTGTCAAATAAATTAATAAATTAATAAATAATAAATAAATAATAAAAAATAAAATAATAAATAAATAATCATACATACATACTGAGTTAATGTAAAAGAAATCCAAATAATAGTTTTCTACTTCCCTCCAAAATTAGAATCATGATTTTCTGTTTTTGAAATGAGTGCCTTGAAACACCCTTCACTTAAATTTCCTTCCTGTCTCTGTTCCTTAGTTTCCTTAATTGTCTTTGGTTCGTCATTCTATTTGAGCTTTTTCCTAGCTGATCCTTTTGTTCCATCTCTTTCTGACTCCCAAGATAGCATGGGGGAGATGGAGAGTAGGAGGCCACCATGGATGTGTGTGAGCCAGGGAGGTAACAGTGGGGTGGGAGAGGACAGAAAAAAGTCAGTGCCTTTTAGGGTTGAGAACCGTAGTTATGAGTCAAATCATAATAATTCTTTGCTCTATATAAGAAAATTCATGATCTTTCTCACGATAATTAAATATAAATAATAGGGTTTTGTGTTTTTTTTCTTGCTAAGGTATGGGATTATAGTGGAGAGGTGATGTTTTTGTGGTATAGAAAGACATCAGTGGTTCTGATAATTGAAACAGTTATTTCTCTGAGTTAGGCCTTGTTTCCCAGGAGCCTTGCCATGATAGAGAGTGTTAAATTATCTTTGAATTTTGAATAGAAAGTAATGCTTTGACTTTGTCATCTCAGTAACCATGAATGTAAGGGAAATGTGGGCTTTGGTAATATTAACTCAAAAAGCCCAGCGGTGGACAGTCATCAGAGACTTTTGTATGCCCTGTAGTTATTCAGCGCAAATGCTAGGATACATCCTATTTTGAAAATGTAAGATGTTTTCCTTAAATGATTTTTAAAAGTCTGCTTTCAGTTCACTTGGTTAACAAATCCTTGTTTCCTGTGGATCTCCAAGTGTAATGGAAACAAACTAAAAATGAGCTCTGATAACTTGTTGGATCAGTAAATCAGACAAGTTATTCTGTTTGGATATACAGTATTAAGTTCTGTATGATAATATGAAAGACTACTTTGGCTTAGATCCCCTCTCCATCCCCCAAATACCTGCCTATTCTGTTTTCAGAAGAGTTCTTTTTTCCCCCTAATTTTATTGAGGAGTAATTAACAAATATAATTGTTTATATTTAAAGTGTACAACATAATTTGTTGTACATATACTTTGTGGAATGACTACCAGGATTAAGATGATGAACACATCCATCACCCCACATAGTTACCTCTTTCTTGTGTGGTGAGGATGCTTAAAGTCTACTCTCAGCAATTTTCAAGTTTACTGTATTAACTAGTCACCATGCTGTATGTTAGATCCTCAGAACTTACTCTTCTTATAACTGAAAATTTGTACCCTTTGACATACATCTTCCCTATTCCTCCTTCTCCCCAACCCCTGGCAGCCACCATTCTATTTCCTATTTCTCTGCAATCAGCCTTTTTTTTTTTTTTTAATAAAGATTTCACATGTAGTGACACCATACAGGATTTGTTGTTCTCTGTCTGGCTTATTTCACTTGACATAATACTCTTCAGATTCATCCGTGTTGTGACGAATGGCAGGATCTCCTGTTTTATAGCCGAGTAATATTCTATTGTATATGTAATGCCACATTTTCTTCACTCATTCATCCATTAAAGGACATTTTACTTGTTTCCATATCTTGACTATTGTGAGTAATGCTGCAGTGAGCATGGATGCGCAGATATCTCTTTGAGATACTGATTTCAGTTGCTTCAGATATATATCCAGGAGTGAGATTGCTGAATCATGGTAGTTCAAGTTCTTATTGTCACAAGTTTTGGAGACAGCTGAGGGTTTGAATCCCAGCTCTGTTGCATAATACCTGTAGCTTCAGTTTCTTCATTTATGAAATGAAAACAGTAAGAGATGTTAAGATTAAAAGATAAATTGTATGCGTAGCACTTAGCTACCTAGTGCTGGATGCAGGGTAAGCACTCAATAAGTGTTATCCAGAATTATCTTGTCCCACGTTAATATATTCTAAGAAAAAGTTTTAAAATTGGGAATAATTAATCTATCCTTACAGTTGATGTTTTTTCCCTCTTCCCCCAGGATGAAAATGGGATAAATAGACCAGTTTGTTCCTATATTAAACCACTTCGAGCTGGGAGGCTTCTGGATACTCCAAGGCAGGCAGCAAGATTTGTTAATGTCCTTGGTTATGAAAGAGCCCCTGTTATTGGAGGAGGAGGTAAACAGGAACAGTGGTGCACTCTGCTGGCCTTTCTCTGTAGAAACAAGGTATTCTACACATGTAATAGAATTAAAAAGTAGTACATCATAGTTATTGTGAATTGATTGCATTTGAAAACAGAAAAGTGGGTAAATTATCAATTTGAACTAGTCAGAATCTTTTGTTTTTAATACATAAAAAACTTAGCAACTTTATTTTCTTGTGTAGTTTCTTATTTAGCATAATATGATTTTTGTGAGGTGGAGACAAGTACTATTGTGTCAGAAATCAAGATATAGAGGTAAATTAAACAGTGAATTAGAGACGGTGCTGGGACCAGAATCATGGTCTTTCTAGTACTATTCATGTTCTAAAATCTATTTAGATGATACATTTTTTTTTAAAAGAGAAAATGGCAGTACAAGATGAATATGGAAGAAAATCTTGGATTGCATGATATTTTGTTTAGTTTCAAGTGTAAGTATATATTTAAGAATTTGTGTACATTTCTGATGTTAGCTGATTTCAATAAATGAATTTTATAGATTATGTGATATTTTTAATCTTCTGTGTTCTAAAAATGTTGATAATATGAAAACAAGACTATCTTCCGCATTTCAGCTCTGCTGAAATAGAAAAAAATTAATTTTTTTATTATTTGTTTTGCAATAATTTTTGTCTGAGGTTGTATAAGTAGTATGAGTATTCATTCACAAGGCAAAGCTTATACCAAAGAGCCTATTTAGCTTAGAGATTGATTTGTTAGGAAGATTTTATCTTAAAAACAATTGGTGGGGGGCGCCTGGGTGGCTCAGTCAGTTAAGTGTCTGCCTTCGGCTCAGGTCATGATCCTGGGGTCCTGGGATTGAGTCCTGAGTCGAGCTCCCTCCTCAGCGGGGAGTCTATTTCTCCCTCTGCCCCTCACCCTGCTCATGCTTTCTCTCTTGCATGCGCGCTCTCTCTCTCTCTCTCTCAAATAAATAAATAAATCTTAAAGGAAAAAAAAAGTTGAAAGGGCTCCTGGGTGGCTCAGTCAGTTACACATCTTACTCTTGATTTTGGCCCAGGTCATGATCTCAGGATCATGGAATTGAGCCCCAAGTCAGGCTCCACGCTCAGCATGGAGTCTACTTAAGATTCTCTTCTTTCTTCCTTCCACTCTGCTTCTCCCCACCTCCCGCACTCTCTCTCTCTCTTTTTTAATTTTTTTTTTTTAAAGATTTTCTTTATTTATTCGACAGAGAGAGACACAGCGAGAGAGGAAACACAAGCAGGGGAAGTGGGAGAGGGAGAAGCAGGCTTCCCGCAGAGCAGGCAGCCTGTTGCGGGGCTCAATCCCAGGATCCTGGGATCGTGACCTGAGCCAAAGGCAGACGCTTAACAACTGAGCCACCCAGGCGCCCCCACACTATTTCTTTCTTAAAAAAAAAAACGAAAACAGTTAAACATTATCAATAAATTATTTTGATTTATTCTCAAGTTGTGGTTCCCAAAAGTTGTGTGTTTGGATTTAAGCTTTTTTATTTCAAATATAGCAGGAATGGTACATATTTAAAGTCATTATGTAAATAATTATTTCCTAAAGCAAATAATCACCCCTTTGATTCATTTTGTTTACCTGAGTTTGTTTAAAGAGAAGGCACATCTTAAATTAGAATCTTGAAATTATTAATTAAAAAAAAAATTTTTTTTTTTAATTTATTCAGAGAGAAAGAGAGTGAGCGAGAGTACAAGTAGCGGGGAGAGTCAGTGGGAGAGGGAGAGGCATACTCCTCACTGAGCAGGGAGCCCAACACAGGGCTCGATCCCAGGATACTGGGATCATGAACTGAGCAGAAGGCAGCCACTTAAACTGAGCCACCCAGGCACCCCAGAAGCTTGAAATTATTGAAAAGTTATTCTTGCACAAACAAGAGCATTACAGCAGTAAGGGTGAAATTTCTCCCATAATTCTATTGCCAGTTTTTCATCTCTTTTTATGTTTTTGTGTTTCTCTGTGTATATATTATTTTTCCATGATTATAATTGAGATATAAATAAAGTTTTGTGTCCTGCTTTATAATTTAACATTGTGCTGTGGACATTTTCCCATGTAGTTGTTGCTACAATTTTCATGATCTCCATCTTTTAATGTTTGTATAAAGTTTTCTTTAGTTGATTACAAAATCTACTTAACTATTGCCATTGTAGGAACTGTTTCTTTTGGCTACAGTAGCTTCTAATTTTTTTATATCTTTGTGAGTGAATTCTCATTCTTTCATTGAATATCTTTGGGAGTATTATTATTTTTCTTTTGAAAATTTTTAGTATAAAATCTCAGTATAGAAATTACTGGGTCTAAAAGGTTGGATATTATATTTTTCAAAAGTTAAATTTGATGTTTTAAAATGTTATTGATTCTAGTATATTTAATCAAAAAACAGCAGTACAGAGCCACTAATACAAAATTTAAGAGGAAAGAAATCACCCCTCAGGCTAACACTGAACTTAAAATTTTGCTTTTGTATATTGCCTGTAGTCCTGCACTTAAATACATATCTTCATGTAATTGTAGCCTGTTTTAATATTTTTATTTTTTTATAGATTATCAGATATTTTCTGTTTTTGTAGGTTTCATAATATTTTTAAGTTGTGAAAGTAATATAATATTGTCAAAGAAAATTTGGAAACTAGAAGGGAAAATGATATATAACCTTCCATAATTATAGCCATTGTTGACATTTTCTTCTTTCAGCCATTTTCCTGGTATGTATTGCCTTAAAATGATCACGTACAGATACTGTAACTCATTGTTTTAAGTTTGAGTCTTTTCCCATGTATTTGCATTTCTTGATGTATCATTTGTCATCTTGGCTGTTCATGTCCTTTAGCTCTTATCTATTCATCTTTAAAATCTTGCTACTTTTCTATGTTATATGAGTTTTTTATAAACTTTTGAATCCAAATGTCCCCTTTTATTTATTTATCTATTTATTTAGATTTTATTTATTTTTTTATTTTTTTAAAGAATTTCTTCATTTGAGAGAGAGAGAGAGAGAGAAACAGCATGAGAGGGGATAGGGTCAGAGGGAGAAGCAGGCTCCCCGCTGAGCCGGGAGCCCAATGTGGGACTCGATCCCAGGACTCCAGGATCGTGACCTGAGCCGAAGGCAGTCTCTCAACCAACTGAGTCACCCAGGCGCCCGATTTTATTTATTTTTTGACAGAGAGAGACACAACGAGAGAGGGAACACAGCAGGGGGAGTGGGAGAGGGAGAAGCAGGCTTCCTGCCGAGCAGGGAGCCCGATGTGGGGCTCGATCCCAGGACCCTGGGATCATGACCTGAGCTGAAGGCAGACGCTTAACGACTGAGCCATCCAGGTGCCCCTGAATGTCCCCTTTTAAAGTGTATATGTTATGACTATCAGATTTGTGAGCACTGACTTTGTAAAATAATTTAGGTTCTTCTAAAATTAGTGTATTCTTACCCCTGTCCCCAATTGTTTCAGCTTACCACTAGACTAATGATTAAAAGAAAAAATTAGGGGCATCTGGGTGGCTCAGTCACCTTCGGCTCAGGTCGTGATCTCAGGGTCCTGGGATCAAGCCCCATGTTGGGCTCCCTGCTGGGTGGGGAGTCTGCTCCCTCTCCCTTTCCTCTCTTTCTCTCTCTTGCTCTCTCCTAAGTAAATAAATAAAACCTTAAAAAAAAAAAAAAATCTAGGGGTGCCTAGCTGGCTCAGTAGGTGAAGCATGTGACTCTCAGGGTTGTGAGTTTGAGTCCCATGTTGGGTTTAGAGATTACTTAAAAAAAAACTTGAAAAAATGAAAAAATTAATACTGCTTTTTAATTATAATTTTTATTGGATATTTAATGAGGAAACTGAAGGAATGAATACTTAATTCATTTCATTTTCTAGGGTGACTGTGAAGATCATGCTAACCTTCTATGCAGCCTTCTTCTTGGATATGGATTAGAAGCCTTTGTCTGTGTTGGGACTAAGGCAAAAGGAGTACCTCACGCGTGGGTTATGACCTGTGGAACTGATGGGACTATCACTTTTTGGGAGAGTTTAACAGGACACAGGTTTGTCAACTATGTTATAAGGATATTAAAATGAAGATGTAAATGTTTGAAATTATAGGTTCTTTGTTTATATTGATGGTATTCAAAGGCACATCCTGATAATTTTCATTATTAGAGCCTTTTTGATAACTATGTAAAACATTACTTCAATTAAAATACTAAATTTGAAGAAAATTTGTACATCTAAAATATTCTTTACCAACATAATATTGGTAAAAGATAAATGATTTCTTTTTAATTTTGTGTAATTGGCATATGCTTTTTCTGATGTTTTTCCTCAAGCCTAAAAGTAAGTTCAGGGTGTAAATCATGATTTCTTTTGAAAATTTGATGTCACTAACTCCACATTGGTAAATTCACTGTATACTTTTCTTAGTTCTTTTGACTGCCATCAGATTTTGAAAGAGTTGCGTGCTCCTCCTCCTTTCCTGGGACCATCTCTTTCCTTAGCTTCTCCCATAGCTTTGTCTTTCAGTTTTCATTATTCCTGTCTGGCTGTTCTCACTTCTCCTTCATCTTATCGGTAAATGTTGGAGTTCCTAAAGGTGCAGCCCTGGGCCATCTTCTCAGTTTTCTGAATTTCCCCCTGGTTGATAATCGTTTTAATTAGTTGTACCTATTTAGTTGTAGCTAAGTTATTTTAATTGTGTTGTCTGAGATGAACAGTTTTGATCTTAATGACTATATATAGAATATATTTTCATGTTGAATAAAGTTGATTTTTATATCATAATATGTGCCATACAATTACTGTAGAGTAATCAAGTTGTAGAAACATAAGAAGAAAAAACAAGTATTAAACTCTAGTCCTAGGAAATAGTTATAGCCTTAAGTATCTTTATCAGTAGGTGTTGCCTTCTTAATTTTTAAGTTTTTATTATATAAAATAATGATTTACTTTTTTTAGGTACATCCACAAACCTGCCAATCCTGATGAATCTCCAGTTGCTGAACAGCCCAAACCATTGTACCCATATCGAACAATTGGTTGTGTTTTCAATCATCAGATGTTTCTGGGAAATTGTCAGCCCTCTGACTCAGTAGAAATCTGTGTATTTGATTTGAATGATGAATCCAAATGGAAGCCCATGAGTGAAGAAGCAATCAAATCTGTGTGTGCTCCGGGAGCTACAACATCCCTTCCTCCCTTTCCCCCTCTGTGTGCATCCACAATTGATGCTTCAGTAACAAGTAATGAAATAGAAATGCAGCTAAGGCTGCTAGTGTCAGAACACAGGAAGGTAATTAACACTGAAATTTGTAGTTTCACGCATTTTTTTTAATTTGTTTATATATTTAACGATTTGGGGAGGGGGGCAGGTGGGATAGTGCCAGTCACTATTCTAGCCCTGAAGAAAGCAGATTTAGTTCTTGCCCTTAAGAAGCTTGAAGTTTTGAAAGTCATGAGAGTTAGCTTCTAAGACTCAAAAATTTCCAAATTCATTAATACTTTTAGAATTTATACTTTCTTCTAGAAATGAAGAATGTTAACTAGTTCAGACTTTTGCTGAATACCACTAATTTGGATTTCTTTTTTTTTTTTTAAAGATTTTATTTATTTATTTGAGAGAGAGAATGAGATAGAGAGCGAGAGCATGAGACGGGCGAGGGTCAGAGGGAGAAGCAGACTCCCTGCTGAGCAGGGAGCCCGATGCGGGACTCGATCCCGGGACTCCAGGATTATGACCCGAGCCGAAGGCAGTCGCTTAACCAACTGAGCCACCCAGGCGCCCTCTTTTTTTTTTTTTTTTAAGATTTTATTTATTTATTTATTTGACAGAGACACAGCGAGAGAGGGAACACAAGCAGGGGGAGTGGGAGAGGGAGAAGCAGGCTTCCTGCCGAGCAGGGAGCCCAATGTGGGGCTCTATCCCAGGACCCTGGGATCATGACCTGAGCTGAAGGCAGGCGCTTAACGACTGAGCCACCCAGGTGCCCCTGGATTTCTTTTTTTGTGAAGTACTTATTCATATTATTCCCATTGAAAATATTGGGTTATATTTTTTCATATTCATTTTTTTCCAGGTTGGTTTTATTTCTTCCTATCACACTAATTTAGCTGGATGTAAAATTATATCCTCATTTTAGCTTTAGTTTGCATTTCCCTGATTACTAATGAGATCAAACCTCTTATTAGCCATTTAGATTCTTTTGTACATTAAGAAGACATAAAAAACAGGGTGCCTGGGTGGCTCAGTCATTGAGCATCTACCTTCAGCTCAGATCATGATCCCAGGGTCCTGGGATCGAGCCCCATGTCGGGTTCCTGCTTGGCGGGAAGCCTGCTTCTCCTTCTCCTACTCCGCCTGCTTGTGTTCCCTCTCTCTGTGTCTCTCTCTGTCAAATAAATCTTAAAAAAAAAAAGACAAAAAACATAAAAAGATTAGTATATTTTAAGAATTTTTGTTCATGAAGAGAAACCAGTCAGGAGTGAAAAGAGCACAATTGGAGTGGGAAAAGTTATATGCAACACATATAACCGTCAAAGGACTAGAATCCTAGGAGACTTATTTCTAATTCACCTTTTCGGATTCCCTAATAGACTCCCCACCTTTGGTGAATCCTGTTTTCCATGTTCCTTGAGGCCATCAAAGGCAAACTGATTTATCAGATATGTTTTCTGGGCTCCCAATTACTATTAGTTCTGGCTTCTAAAATCTGCTGTACTCACATGCCAACTCATCAAAGCATTTAAAAGTGTATTTTGGAAAATATTTAATCTGGCATTTGTAGTTTGGTCTTAATTAGCAATAGGTTGTTTAAGGACCTAGTTCACTACACTGCTGGGAATGAAAGCCCCTCATTACTGCCCCTTTCCTTCCATCACTTATACTGCCTTTTAATTTTCTTAGGTCTTGTTTACAAACAAGACCAGTATTTTATTATAAGAATTTATATAGAAGAAGAAAACTGAGCTAGATACTAGTGTTAATCACTAAGTTAGTGGTGCCTGTAAACCAGCCAGTGAGATTTACTTTTTGCCAGGGTAAAAAGACATGATCATAGACCTTTGGGGTTACTTGGAACCACTTAAAACATTGAACACAAAATCAGGAAATGGTAGAGATCTATTATGATAATCAAAATATTTAGGATTTTGAGAAGTTTTTTATGTTTGTAAAACAATGTTTTTTAAATGTGTCTAGATATCTATAGTTCATTTGATGTTATAAATGAAATCATAATTGCCTTCAGCATTCCATTAGAAACATGTTTTAAGCTCCCTAAAGGCCTATAGCATGTCTTTTTCACCTTTTTATCTCTCTACAGTTTAAAAGTTAGTGTTTTTTATAAATATTTGAGTTTATTATACATGCAATTCATTTGTTGATTTTTCTCCCCTACTACAGTTGAATTTGTGTTGGAGCAATCAAATTAAGCAGATTCAATCTTACTAAACTCTTTAAAGTTAAATAAAATATGATTTCAAATTTCAGTGGCACTGTATTTTCCATAGTAGGACTCTTCCACGTAGTCTTTTCTAGTGGATATTAAGGAAGTATAGATTTTGGAGACTTCCTAACATCATTGTATTGAAAGTTTATTTGGTTTTTTTCTCTAAGAAGTAAAACCAGATACCTGTAGTTCCTTTATTTGTATGTGTCCTTATATTAATTAATAGAAAATTTAAAAAGTTATGACAGGTTTTTAAAAATCTTTTGGCATACATTAAAATAGCCAACACTTAAAATTGGCTTTTAAAACATTAGTGTATTTCACCTTTCCTTTTTATCTTTTGATTGCTGTAGGATCTTGGTCTCACTACTGTTTGGGAAGACCAGCTTTCCTATCTCTTATCACCAGCTTTGGCTTCTTATGAATTTGAACGTACAACGAGTATATCTGCAGGCAATGAAGAATTTCAAGATGCCATAAGGAGGGCTGTACCTGATGGTCACACATTTAAAGGGTTCCCAATACATTTTGTATATAGAAATGCAAGGCGTGCATTTGCCACATGTCTTCGGTAAGGTGGAATTTATGAATTCGTAAATGTTGTTATTGGCTTAGGAATTTAAAGATATTTATTTATTTATTTATTTATTTGAGAGAGAGCAAGCTCAAGGTGGAGGCAGAGTGGGGACAAGCAGGCTCTGCACTGAGCATGGAGCCCGATGCAGGGCTGGATCTCATGACTCTGAGATCATGACCTGAGCTGAAATCAGGAGTCAGACATACAACCTACTGAGCCACCCAGGCGGCCCTATTAACCTAGGAATTTTAGCAGTCTGTTAGTCTGGTTATTTAGGAATGACTTTAGAATCACATGGGGGAACTTTTATAATGATTTATTATTTTCCTTGCCACAGATTGTGATTCATTAGGTCTGAAATGTAGCTCTAGGTAGTTGGGATAATTTTCCCATTGATTTTGGTGCAATCTCAGTTGAGGATTTCTGATCTTGTCCAGTGTAATTTTTTAAATTTATAGACTGAAGAAATATTCTATAATTTGAATAAGTTAAGCAAAATCACAGGGCTATTGGTAGCAGAGACAGGATTTTTAAAAATTATTTTAAATACTGACTTACTTAGAAATAAAACCTAAGTTCACTTCTTAATTGAATAAATTTTCTTTCTTCTATAGGTCTCCTTTCTGTGAAGAGATAATCTGTTGCCGTGGAGACCAGGTGCGACTGGCAGTTCGTGTCCGAGTGTTTACTTACCCTGAATCTGCATGTGCTGTTTGGATCATGTTTGCTTGTAAATATCGCTCGGTATTATAGGACTAACATTTCTATAAGAATATACCTGTTTTATTGGAATTTTACACATTGTACATTACTAGCTGTATAGAGGTTATTATTTTAAAAATTATTCTGGCTTGGATGTCATATTTCCCTTTTGTATATACCTGACTGATAATGTTTGAAAAAAATCATGTGTGTATTTAAAAATTAAGGATAAAAAACTTGTATAAATCTGAGTGGAATTTAGTATAAATTAAGTGTGTATTTTATTTTAATAAATGCTACTTTGTTTACAGGTATTCAGTAGTTTAAATATAAATATAAAATTTACTCAGTTTTCCTTACGTTAACAGGTAATCAGAGATATTTATTTGTCTAAGGGTTTGAGCCATAGTAAAATCAATATGATCATTATTTTTCATAGATTAATGGGATTATTTTATATAAATTAGGAAAAATTAACCTCACAACAGATTTATTAAATAGGTGAAAACACATTTTGATGAATTATCACTTTTGAGGTTTACCCATGGCCATAGGGATATTTGTGACTTTCCAGGGATTTATGGGAAGACTTTGATGCAAGAGTAGGAAAAACTAATAGCAGAAAAGCATAAATATTAATAACAAAACAAACCTCACATAAAAGTACATAAATAATTTATAAGTATGTTAGATCCATTATAGAATGAGTATTTTTATTTTTAAAATTTCTAAATATTTATTTGAGAGAATGAGAGAGAGAGAGCGCACATAAGCAGGGGGAGCAGCAGAGGGAGAGGGAGAAGCAGGCAACCTACTGAGCAGGGAGCCTGATGTGGGATTCGATTCCAGGACCCCGGGATCATGACCCAGCCTGAGGGTAGACGCTTAACTGACTGAACCACCCAGGCGCCCCAAAAATGAGTATTTTAGAAAAAATTCATCATACCCTTCTGTTATGACACTTTGATAAACTGATTTCTGTAATTATTATTGGCAATTTGTTGCAGATTTTCTGTAGTCAGAGAGGATTCATTACTAGCCTCTTCATGGATTCCATCTTATAAACCACATTTGTTTGTCTTGAAACCACATTTGTTTTTCTTTCTTCCTTTGTTTTTTCCATTGTGATAAAAACATCAGTGTATATGTGACTACTCTAAATTGGAGAATCATTATGTGAGGACACTGAAAAATGAGCATATGTGAGGGACTCCATGCTGATATTTGCTTTAAAATTGAGCAAGTTTTAAAAGTTAGTTTTAAAAGTGAACAACAGTGAGCATTAAAAAAGCTATAGCAGTTTGACTTTTTATAAGAAGCTACATGACATAATTGATAGATTTGACTGTCCATTCAGCATCTCTGTGCACAGGTTGCTTCATCCATTGGTCTTAAAGCAACTGTGGGGGCACCTGGGTGGCTCATTTGGTTAAGTGTCCCAGTCTTGATCTCAGCTCAGGTCTTGATCTCAGGGTTGTGAGTTCGATCCCATGTTGGGCTCCATGCTGGGCGTGATCGGCTATGCAAGTTACTCTTTTCATCACTTCATTGCAAATGATTTAATGTTTTTAAAATTAAAAACCTAGAGATACCCTAAAATTTACCTTTTGCTTATTTTTGTATATGATAAATATTTATGATTTAACTTGTTTAAAAAATCTGAAAATATCCCTCTTAATTTTCATTGAAAACAGTAATCAGATGTTTCTTGTGAGACTGACATGACTTTAGAGAATTAGCAAAATAAGAATTAGACTTTTTTCCTTTGTTACCAGAATTACTCATAAAGCTATCAGTAGGGAAAATTGCTTACAATTTTCAACTTTTGGAACAAACCATTTATGGGGCACATACTAAGAGGCAGACTATTTTAAGATCAAGGCTATGTTATCATTGAGGCTGGGCTTCCTGCCTTATTGTACCAGAGTAACACATGTATTCATAATGCATCTTTGGTATACATTCTAAAATAAATTTCCTTTTTATGCACTTTAATAGAGTCTGACATGAATAATTTTCTGTAAAGGTGGTTTATTTCAAAAGATTCTTTCAGTACATTTATCATTAGAATTATTATCAATAATTTTTCTTTTTAAAAATTAAATTTACCTTGTCTATTTAGCTGTCATAAAAGTTGTTTTCCTATTAAAAATGTAAAATTTTTTATATAATGTCTTTAATGTGTTCTTTTGTACACTAATACAGTCCTCTATACATATATGTATAATACATAGGTATATTTATTAGGAGAATATCAGAAACCTAGAAACTTTATTATTCAAGTGTAAGCCTATTGAATAAAACATTAAATTTAGTTCCAACTAAGTGAACACTCCAAATGCCTTTAAATTTTTTTCTACTATTGAGGTGTGCATTTTTTGATATGATCTGCAAAAACACATCTATAACCTGGCAGTTCTGGAAAGTGCACATATTTGAAACTCACTTTTCTACTCAAAAAAACAAGATTTGAACCAAATGAAGAGTAGGCTTAATATTTGAAAAGACGATTGCTGTTAAAGTAGTATTCTGTGCCATATAACTGACCATCAGAAGGCATTAGTTATAAATCATCAGTTGCTTAAACCCATTCACACTTTTGATTTCATGCTGTACTAAACAAGAACATAGTTTATGTTAGACTACAGTTCGCAATTTTTACAATTTTTTTTTTACTCTTAGATAACAATTTTGACCTTTATACTTAAGGAGATAAGTATAGGAATTAGATGATCTAATTTTTAACATGCTCTTTTAAACCAATGAGAAAGTAGCATTGCTTTCTAGCTGTTGGTAGTTCAGAAATAATTTGAGATTAGCCAAAGCGTATATAAAATATTAAGAGCAAAATAGCCAAAATAGAAACCATCTACTTTTGAAGAACTTAAATTGTTTATAGCATATTCTACATTTAAAGCATAAGTTGAGTTATAATCATTAGTGCATGTAAATGTGGGTATTAAATGTTTAATATTCTCTTCTGAGATGTGGTTGGCATAGTCATTGTAATTATATTTGACTTGTATTTGGTTTATGAATTAACTACATGACACCAGTGTTGAGATAGTCATGGATATTAGAAGGGAAGTAGAGGAGGTTATTAGCTGGTCATTAGTTCACATATAGTCTCTATTTTTTAAAGATTTATTTTATTTTATTTAAAGGTTTTATTTATTTATTTGACAGAGAGATAGAGCCAGAAAGCACAAGCGGAGGGAATGGCAGAGGGAGAGGGAGAAGCAGGCTCTGCGCTGAGCAGGGATCTCAACGTGGGGCTCAATCCCAGGACTCTGGGATCATGACCTGAGCTAAAGGCAGATGCTTAACCATCTGAGACACCAAGATGCCCCAAGATTTATTTATTTTAGAGAGAGCGAATAAGCTGTGGGGAGGGGCAGAGGGAAAGGGAGATGGAGAATCCTCAAGCAGACTCCGTTCTGAGTGCAGAGCCTGATGTGGGGCTTGATCTTGGGACTCTGAGTTCATGACCTAAGCTGAAACGAATGACTGAGCCACCCAAGCACCCCAGTTCACATATATTCTTATGAAAGATTCCTTCTCTGATTTTACTGAATTTAGACTTGTACTAATACTCCAAGACAGATGTTTCCTAGTGTTTTTGAAGGTAACTAGTTTTTTGGGTGGTTTTGTTTGTTTGTTTGTTTTTGGTTTTGCATCTAAAACTAGAGTTTTAACTGTCTTTATGCGATTTAATATTTCATGGCCTGGAATTACAGGATTTTGGACTTGAAAGGAGTCTTAGTCCACATAATTTATATAGTAATGAAATGGAGATCTAGAGAAGTGAAGTTCTCTGTCCAAAGGTTCATATTTCTAATAGCAGATCTGTTCTAGAATCAAGTTCTGACTTTGAGTTTCTTTCTTTTTGCTGTATCTCTGCACAATGTGAGTTTTTCTCTGTGGGCATGGCATTATTGGGTATGACCAAGGAACCATCCAACATAGTATGGAAAATTTTCATTTTAGTGGTTCTACCCAAGACATAGGAATATGGAAGCACCTGTCTTTTATGGTACTCATCACATAACCTATCAAAAATTACAGTAATATTTGGGATATCAAGTCACTGACAGGCCAGAATTACTTTTTAGGGAGGATGGCCTAGGGAAGCTGAGTCCCTTAGAGGGGCAGTGAGCTGCTTGAGATTCCTTGTGGTGTAGAATTCAACTATTTGTATACTTGAGAGATTCAGTAAACTGAGGTACAGGGATAGTGCCTACTAACATGCATTTAGAAAATATTTCAGTCATATTGTCTGTATTTTGAGAGAATTACTTCTGAAATCCATTTATTTACAAATTGGATGTACCTGGCCAGTTGTTAATTGAATTTTTACAAAATCTTTTACTCGTACACAATGTACAGTGAGGGAATAGGAGCAATGGTAGTATGAAACTGGAAGATGATTGTCAGAAGTTAGAAAATCTATTGATTTGAACACAAGCAAACATTTTATCGACATAATTTGCCTACCACACAACCTTTTTTTTTCTTCCAAGTTTTTATTTAAATTCAAGTTAGTTAACACAGTGTAGTGTTGGTTTCAGGAATAGAATTTAGTGATTCATCATGTAAATATAATAATGTTTTAAAGTGTGCAGTGCAGTGGTTTATATTCTATTTAGAGATACATACAACCATCGTCAATAAAATTACAACATTTCATCACCTCAAAAAGAAACCCTGTACCCTTTAGCTGTTACTTTCCCATCTCCACATTCCCTACCCTCCTTTCTCCCTAGCCCTAAGCAACCACTTATCCACCTTCTATTTAGATTTCCCTATTCTGGATTTTCCTATGAATGGAATCACATATGGTCTTTTGTGACTGGCTTCTTTAACTGCACATAATGTCTTAGATTTATCCATGTTGTTGCATGTACCATATCATTCCTTTTTATGGGCAAATAATATTCCATTGTGTGGATATATCATTTGTTTATCCATTTGATAGTCAATAGACATTTTGGTTGTTTTCACTTTTTGGCTATTATAAATAATGCTGCTATAAACATTCATGTATAAGGTTTTATGTGGGCATGAGTCTTCATTTCTCTTGGGTGTATATCTAGGAGAGGAATTGCTGGATCATATGATAACCAACATTTTAGTGAAATGCAAATAGATTTCCAAAGCAGATGCACCACTTTCTAATTCCACTCGTAGTGGATGAGGGTTCCGATTTCTCCACAATCTTGCCAACACCTTGTTATTATCTGACTTTCTTCTGATTCTAGTCATCCTGTTGGGTATGAAATGGTATCTCCTTGTGGTTTTTATTTGCGTTTCCCTGATGGCTAATGATGTTGAGCATTCTTTCATGTGCTTATTGGCCATTTGTATATCTTCCTTGAAGAAATGTCTATTTGGATCTATCACCCATTTTTAAATTGGGTTGTCTTTTTATTATTGAGCTGTAAGAGTCCTTTACATATTTTAAATACAAGTCCCCTATCAGATATATTATTTGTAGATACTTTTTTCTATTCTGTGGGTTGTTTTCATTCT